AACACAAAACATATCAAACAGACAAAGAGCATCTATGTCTTAGGCAAGCAGCCTAAAGCATAGAAACATTCACAACTACAGGGCTTACAGAACACAACCACTGTGCTGACTTCTGGGTTAACCACGTCCCCACTTTTCCTTTCAATTCTCTAATATTTATAGCACCCTGAGATAACTTTAAAAATGGTAGCCTACTGTAGATAGTCTTCTGCACTTTTTTTTAAGTGCTCTTTTGTTTGGGTGGCCATTCACTTTTACTGCTGTAGGGTATTTCACTGCGAGTCTACACAAAGGTATCAGTGTATCATGTTTTTAAATCTTTTAAATTTATTATTATTTTTTGGAGGGGGCAGGCTGCATGGCTTGTGGGACCTTAGTTCCCTGACCAGGGATTGAACCCAGGCCACTAGGCACTTAGTGAAAGTGCCAAGTCCTAACTTACTGGACCACCAGGGAATCCCCTCACACACATCATTTTTTTTTCAAATTGAAGTATAACTAATTGACAATGTGCTCATTTCAAATGCACAGCAAAGTGATTCAGTTATACATACATATATATATATATTTATATATATATAAAAATTCTTTTTCAGGTTCATTATGGTAGCACAGGATACTGAACATAGTTCCCATGGGTGTGTTCTTACTGAAGGATATCTGAGCCGTTTTCAGTTTTTGTTTCCCTATAACAACAAACAGTGAGGGTTTCGAAACTCAAATCAAGTCCTCTCCTATATGGTAAGGAACTAAGTTCTGGGACAACAGCCAGCAAGGATGTATATCCTCTTAACATCAGTACCAATGTGCTTGGGAGTGGACCCTGCTCCAGGGGACACCTTCACTGCAGCATCATGAACCCTGGAGCCAGACCACCCAGCTAAACAGCACCCAGCTTCCATGATCAAAGGACCCCCCCCTTCCCCCTGCCCCCCCCCTTCCTCCCCCCTTCCTCCGGCCACAAGGTATTTATGTGTGCATATGTGCTCAGTCACTTCAGTTGTGTCCAACTCCTTGCAACCCCATGGGCTGTAGCCCGCCAGGGTCCTCTGTCCATGGGATTCTCCAGGTAAGAATACTGGAGTGGGTTGCCCTGTCCTTCTCCATGAGATCTTCCCAACCCAGGGATTGAATCCGAATCTCTTACATCTCCTGCATTGGCAGGCAAGTTTTTTACCACTAGTACCGCCCGGAAAGTCCTACTTATTATTTCCTTTTTAAAGTTAATTAATTAATTAACTTTTGGCTGCGCTGGGTCTTTGTTGCACGTGGGTTTTCTCCAGTTGCGAACAGGGGCTACTCTCCAGTTGTGATGTGCTTGGTCTTCTCATTGTAATGGGTTCTCTTGTTGCGGAGCCTGGGCTCTAGAGTGCAGGCTCAGTAGTTGTGGTTCTGCAGCATATGGGCTCTTCCTGGACCAGGAATCGAACCTCTCTCCTGTATTGGCAGGCGGATTCCTCGCCACTGAGCCACCAGGGAAGCCTATGTACTTATTATATTCTAACATGCCACTCCTGCCGGCTTTCCAAGAGCAGGGACGGACCTTTGTTCTGGTCACTGGTGCCACCCCAGTGCCTGGCACTGGGAGATGTCCAGTTCCAGCCCCCCAGATTTCAGTTGGGATTTCAGGGTTCCAGGTCTAGGTTCCTGATTTCTGATCCTAGATTCCAGGTTTAGCCTCCAGGCTCAGGAATCCGACCAAACGTCCTCCTCTGGGCTCTGGAACAGGGCTTCCAGATCCAGGGTATAGAATCCCAGCTCCCCAATAGACACGAGAATCAGGGTCCCCCAAATTCAGGCCCTTCAATGCGAGTGGTCCCCTCTCCTCCCATCCGGAATCCCTGTCCTCCACCCCGACCCCCTAGCTCCAGGTTCTGCATTGAGCCCGCCCCACCCCTCCAGATTCCAGATTCCGCGGTCCTGCAGGTCCAGGCGCCGGAATTCAGTACCCAGACTCGTGATCCGGGCTGGGAGCCAGCGGGAGTCGTTGGGCTGAGCTTTTGAAAAATTTGGCGCCAAACTCCAGCAAGGCGGCGCGGAAAGGACGGGGGATGGGGAATGGGGACGGCGGGCAGAGACTGGCCGGTCCTCCCAGGCACGGGGATTTCTCGCCCACCGGCCGCACCCTCCACACCCAAAGTAGGCAGCAACTGGCCATTAACTCACAAGCCCTGGGGTCAGAAGGTCCTGGATTCGAACCCCCTCCCCTCCCCACCCCTGATGGCGGGGGAGGGGGGGGGTCCCAGGACAGGTCTCCGGATCGCCCCGTGCCTCAGTTTCCCGTCTTGGAAATGGGCCGAGAATCCCACCACTAGCACCACCAACCCCAGCCACGTGTCGCGCCTGGTGAGCCGGTGGAGTAGACACGTCATCTTCTCCGGGTGGCCAGACCTAGGGCTCGACGGGGCGGGGTGGGGTTTGGGGTGAGTGGTCTGGCCCCAGCAGTCGCCGCCCGGCTTGCTCTGCGCCAAAATTTGAAAATTGCCAGCGCCTCCCAAACAGAGCAAGCGGAGGGGAAGCCCCGGCCCCACCCACGGCAAGCGCAGGGCTTTCTGGGACTTGGAGTCCAGACCTTCCCCCCCACCCCCACCCCCACCCCCACCCCCAACCCCGGGCTCCTCGATGGGCTGGGGGCGGGGAGGGCGCTCGGGGCGCAGTTGGGGCGGAGAGTAGGGGCCAAACTGCAGACTGAAGTCCAGGCCCGCGCAGCCCAGGGTGGGGGATGAGCGCAGGGAACAGAATTCCTAGAGGAGGGAACAGCGCAGGCCAAGACCTGGAGGTGAATGGGACATCCATATGCAATGAGGGGCCAGCCTGGTGGGCCGAGGGTAGGCTTCCGGGCCTTGCGTGGCAGGAGACCGGGGCGGTGGTCAGTGGGACCTCTGATGGGGAGGGGGTTGCAGCTATGGCTAGGGGTGGAGGGGAGGAAGGTGACCCCATACTACCCAAACCCAAACCTTAATCGTTTTTCTTCCCTCCCACCCCTCGTTATGTTGTATCACTTATTGGTGGTAAGTGTTAGTTGCTCAATTGTGTCAGACTATTTGCGACCCCATGGACTGTAGACCGCCAGGTTCCTCTGTCCATGGAATTCTCCAGGCAGGAATACTGGAGTGGGTTGCCATTTCCTTCTCCAGGAGATCTTCCCCACTCAGGGACGGAACCTGGATCTGCTGCATTGCAGGCAGAGTCTTTACTTCAAGCTTCCTCCCGTTCTACACCCTGTTTTGTATTTGGTGTTTCTCTTAGGAGGGGCTTCCCTGGTGGCTCAGTGGTAAAGATCCCACCTGACAATGCAGGCGACGCAGGTTCCTGCATCTTGCCTGGGCAATCTCATGGACAGAGAAGCCTGGTGAGCCGAGCCAATGGGATCACAAAAAGTCCGATAGGACTTAGTGACTAAACAACAACGTCAACAGTCAAGACGGGTGAGCACCAAGGGTAGACCCCCCACCAGAGCTGGAAAAGAAAGCAAGTTTTCATGTGTCATTTGCTGGGGTCCCTGAGAAGGTTGTTTGCGTCAAGTCCTCTGAGGTTAGATGTCTGGGGAGAGGGATTTTCAAGGCAGAAATAACAACTGGCAAGTTCCAGGATTAGGGGAAGTGGTTCTCAATTGGGGGTGACATTGCCCCCTTGGTGATAGGTGGCAAAGTCTGGGGACACTTTGGGTTGTCTTGACTGGAATGGGTGCTGGTGCTCCTGGCATCGAGGTGTCGGGGAGGGGGAGGGGACCCCAGCGATGCTGTCTGACTTAATGAATGGAACGCCACCTCTCCCTCCCTCCTCCCCGCCCTTTCCCAACCCCCGCCCCGAAATCGCAGGGGATCAAACCCATTCCCCCTGCACTGGAAGTGCAGAGTCTCAACCACTGGACCACTGGACCTTCAGGAAAATCCTGGACATTTTATATGAGTGGAATCATACATTTGTGTGGCCTTTTGTGTCGCTTCTTTCACTGAGCATTTTTTTTTTAATTGAGATATAATTGTCATAGCATTATATAGCTTCAGATGTACAAACTAATAGTTTGATAAGTCTAGGTAACATCTGTCACCTTACATATTAATAGTTACAGAATTTTTTCTTGTGATGAGAATTTTTAAGATCTACTGTTTCAGCAAATTTCAAATATGCAATTTAGTATTAACTATAGTCACCATGCTGTCCATTACAGCCCCATGACATTTATTTTGTAACTGGAAATGTGTTAATTTTTGACTTCCTTCACCCACTTCACATCCGCAAACCCCAGCCACCAATCTGTTCTCTGTATGTATGTGCTTGGGCTGTACACCTGAAATTAACACGACTTTGTAAATAACTATACCTTAAAAACCAACCCCCCCCAAAAAAAATCAAACACACACACACAAAAATTGCAAAACTTTGCTTATAGACCTAAAAAGAAATTAAATGAAATAATTAAAAAGTTAGATGATGCATACATTGTTGCAAAAATGTAAATTGGTAAACCTCTTCAGAGGACAACTTGGCAATATCTCTATGAGCCTGGGAAATACACATGTATACTGATATTTATTTGGCTGCATCAGGTCTTAGGTGCAGCCTGGAGTATTTCTGATGTGTTGGGTTTTTGTTTTTTATTCCACATATTGGTGAGATCACTGAACATTTCTGAAGTTTCTTCACCACTCCACTTGTAATTTTAATGAGGCTCCGATGACGTAGGTAGGGTTAGGTTATGCAAGTGGGGAAACTGAGGCCCGGAAAGAAACCCAGGGGTCACACAGCGGTCAAGCTGGGATTTGGGGTCCGGTTGTTTGGCTCCCGGACAATGTGGGAAACTGAGCAGGAGACTACACCTCCCGGCGTGCCGCGCGCGGCGCCGGCCGGACTACAACTCCCAGACTGCCCCGTCGCGGCGGCGGCGGCGGGCGACGGGCGCCATCTTGGTCGGCGGCGCGGATTGAATGAGCCCGCCGAGCCGCGGCCGCCGTTCCGAGCAGCGCGGACCCCGAACCGCTGCTGCCGCCGCCACCATGGCCACGCCGCAGCCCGGCCGCGCGGGCGGGCCCTCCACGCCGCTGTCGCCCACGCGCCTATCGCGGCTGCAGGAGAAGGAGGAGCTGCGCGAGCTCAATGACCGCCTGGCGCACTACATCGACCGCGTCCGCGCGCTGGAGCTGGAGAACGACCGGCTGCAGCTCAAGATCTCCGAACGGGAGGAGGTGACCACGCGCGAGGTGAGCGCAGGTGCCGGGGGCCCCCGCTGGGGCGGGCCGGTCTCTCAGGTTCCCCGGGGGTTTCGGGGACGCTCCTGCAACAGGGGGAGAGTGGGGCGGGCCTTGCCCACCAAGGCGTCCCCAGGGAGCTTCGGGGGCCCCGCGCGAGGGTCACACGCTTGACTGAGGGTCCTCGAGGGTTTCGGGGACTTCTCCCGTGCGAGAGGTAGACTGGTTCCTGCCCCGCCCACCGAGGAGTCCGGGAACTTCTCAGGGTCTCTCGAGTGAGGGTGCATGCCTGAGGGGCCCCTGGGGAGGTTCAAGGGGCTCTCAGTAAGGGGTGGGGGCTGGGGCGGGCGCCTACGAGGGATCCCCAAGGGTTTCTGCCGCCCCTACCCCATGCGAGAGGTGGAGACTGGCACTAGCTCCGCCTCCGAGGGATCCCTCCCTATCTGGGGATCTCCTCAGACAGGGGTGCAGGCTAGGGTGAGTCGTGTTCTCTGATGGGTACCCAGGGGGGGCTGGGGGACCCTGAGTGAGGGCTGCACCCTGGGGCAGGTCCCCCCACCCACCAGGGGTCTCCAGGGTGTTTCCTGTATCCCTTGAGTTTGGGGCTGACCTGTCCCCTGAAGTGGACTCGGGATTGGGGGGGCCCCGAGTGAGGGGTCCATTAGGGTAGTTTCCCCTTCTGAGGTGTCCCCAAGGGTTGGTGGGAGGTGCCCTGATTGAGGGGTGCAACCTGGGTAGGCCCCACCCTTTGAAGGGTCCCCAGAGGACCTTGGAGGGTAGGGGGAGATGGAGCAGGCTCTGCCTACCAAGGGATCTGAGGAGATCTGGGGACCTCCTGAGTGATGGGGCCTGAGCCAGGGTGGACCCCCCCAAAGGAGTTAGAGAGTCTTCGGGGATGTGTTTGGGTGTTCTACAAGAAAACTTGGGGGAGACTGTCCAGTCTCTGAGGAGGAGTGGAAGGTCTGGGGTGAGTCAGTGGTCTCAGTTCTCCTAGGAACTTTGCAGGAGTCCCATGGTGAATCCTGGGGACTTTGGGGATTGAGTGGGATTAGGCAGTAAATTCAGTCTTTTACCAGGACCTGGGGCATAAAGAATCTGCCTGAAATGTGGGAGACCTGGGTTCGATTCCTGGTTTGGGAAGATTCCCTGGAGAAGAGCATGGCAACCCACTCCAATATTTTTGCCTGGAGAATCCCCATGGACAGGGGAGCCTAGGGTGCTTCAGTCTGTGGGGTCACAAAGAGTCAGACATGACTAGGTGACTAAACACAGCACAGCACAGGCAGTAAGTTCACTCTTTTATTAGGACCTGGAGGGTAGGGGTCAGAGCAGGGGAGTCTAGTGTCTCCCTGGTCCCATGGGAAATTTGGAAGGCCCTTCGTTGGGCCCTGAGACCCCCTTGGCTAATGGGCAGGAGCCTACGAGAGTCTGGTAGCTTCTGCTCTGTCCTGGGGGGTGTGAGGGGCGGGGGAGGTGTGAGGCCTTGGGGAACCAGGAGAAGTTTTGGTGCAGCCCTGCCCACCAAGTGGGTGTGAGGGCAGGGGTTTCGGGATCCTGGATGGGGTGTATCATGACTGGCTGCCAACCTAGGGGGCTCCTTTTCTCCCACAGGCCCCCCCCAACCCAAGGGCAGGTCCTCAGAATAAGGGGGAGGGGGCCACCATGTGGTTCCCTTTGGGCCCGGTGGGAGAGCCAGGGCCTGAAGCTGGCACTTAGTGCTTGGAGCCTCAGCTTTCCTCTCCAAAGAATGGGTGCAGTGACGACCTCTGGGAGGAGAGCGTGGTGGGTGGAGTGGGAGCTAGGGGGGTGGTCATTTCTGGGAGCCACTTACTGTCTGTATAACCTTGGGCAGATCACTTAACCTCTCTGAGCTTACTGCCTCTTTTGTAAAGTGCAAATAATAATAAATACCTACTTTGGGGGCTTGTATGTGGGGCCACCATGAATTCACATTTGTTTTATAGAATAAAGGCCATAAAATACATGACAGTGCCCTGAGGGAACACTCCGTGGGTTCTGTTGCCCCTGCCTGGGTCCCCGGGATCAGGATGGGCCCGAAAGTGTGTCTCAGGTGTCTGGTGGTTGGTGGTGTGTTAGATCACCTGGGATTAGATTAAAGCTTGAGATCCAAACCCTGCGTTTAATCTGTGACCTTGGGCAGGTCATTCAGCCCCCCAGAACCTTGGTTTTGTCATCTGTATGATGGGACTGGAGTGGCTGCCCCAGTGGTGCGGCCTCAGCAGTGCATGCGGGTCCTCAGAGTGCAGGCCCAAGTTCCGCCTGCTGGGCTGGTCAGTGCTGGGTCCTTCACCCCAGCCTCTCCTCCCATCTGCAGGCAGTGGACGTGGGGTGCCGGCCCCACTGGATGTGTGTTGTTCCCGAGAGCGCAGGGTCCGGACCCGGGGAACTCGATGCTGTCCACGTGTCTAGGCAGTGGCATGGTTTACTTCTCGGCTGCCCATGCTGGTTGGGACACAGGACTGCCGGGTGGGAGTGGGAGCGGCCTCGCCACATGGTGCCCCCCAGGGCTGTTCCCAGGGTCTGGAGTCACCCAGATGACAGGTGGTTGTTCACAGCAGGAGTGGGGCATTCCCACCAGCCTGATCTCCTGGAACTTGGGGGTGAGGTGACAAATGCCCCCTCAGCTGGTCAGTGGAGGGAGCCAGTAACCTGCTGGAGCAGTGAGGTGGGCTGGTCATGTGCGCTGCGTGGAGGGAGTGACCTGGAAGTGGCCAGGGGCTGTTTGAGGGCATGGTGTGTCAGGCCTCTGACCTGGATGGCAGCTTCTCACCTGGAAGAATCTGCCCCCGGGGGACACTGGGTGATGGCTAGAGACGTCTGTGGTTGTCACACTGGGGGACTCCTGACATCAAGGCAGTGGATCCAGGAAGGCTGCCCCACACACTCCTCCCCCCAGAGCCCAGGACATCTCCCTAGAGAGGACGATCCAGCCCCAAATGCCATTAGTGCTAAAGCTGAGAAGCCACTTAAGGAACCCAGTGGTGATGCTGTTTAAAATGTGAGCGTACTTGCAATCAGCGCAGAGGGTTCAGGTGCCTAAGGTAAAAGTTACGTTCTGGTCCGCAGACCCTCACCGGTTGTGTGTGGATGATTGCCTTTCCCATCGGAAGTCAGATGATGGGTGTTTTGGTCTGGTGAGCTGTCAAGGTGAATGGCCATGTGCGTACCTGGAGGATTTCTGGGAGGCTGAGGGCTGGCCAGATTTCTGTATGGGAAGAGTCTTGGGTGCTGGGAGGCGGGGGGTGGCTTGAGTGGACCAGGGAGGAAAGGGGGTTCTTCAGGGAGCCCCCAACCAGGTGTTGAGTTCCCCTAGGCTTCACATTTTTTCCCTTCCTGCCCAGGTATCCTGTTGCTGTGGGGACCAGGAGGCGGTGCTCCCCAGGTGGACCCAGGGAGCAGGAGCTGGGCTCTGGGAGTTGGAGGAGCGAAGGGTCAGGGTTTGTGGAGTTTGGCAGTGGTTGTCAACTCCGGGGCACTTTTGTCCCCGGGGACGCAGGCAGGGCCTCACAGGGCAAGTCTGGGACCCTAGGAAAAGGCTACCTCAGGTTATGCGAACTCTGCTCCCTTCACTGCCACACATGCTAACACATCTGTTGGGATTCCTCAAGTTTTACACTTGTGCAGCGCCGGCCGTTAAAGACAGAACAAAAGCCAAAGCTGTGCCCGGGGCTCCCACGGGACACCCCAAGCATCGTAGCACATGGAGGCACAGGCCTGCCGGGAACACCTGTTCCCTGCTCTGAAAGAGCCTTTGTGACCTTGCGTCCTCCTCTGCAGAGTTTTCTCCATCGTCCTGGTGCCATAGATCAGGTTCCAGGTTTGATAGAAGTTTTTGGGAAAGGCCTGGGGTTTCAGCTCTGTGGGTCTCAAGTGTAAGCATTCAACTCAAGCATCACGGCTGGCAGGGAAGCTGCCAGGGACAGTGCACGGAGGGGCAGGCCAGGGTGTGTGCCAGTAAAGCTTTATTTGTGCACACTGGAGTGTGCATTTCATATGGGTACCTGTATCATGAAATATTTTTTTGTTTTTTTCTACTCAGCCATTTAAAAATATAAAAGCCGTTCCCGTCCTGCAGGCGGGTGGCTGGGGTTTTGTGCTGTGGGCCTGGCTATAGAGGATCATCTGACTGAGACACAGTTTTTTGATAGAAGGTCTGCAGCAACCCTGCCTCTGGCAAGTCTGTTGGTGCAGGACTTCCCTGGCAGTCCAGTGGTGAAGACTCTGTGCTTCTTTGCAGTCGTGTTGGTTAAGTCCCTGCTCAGGGAACTAGGATCCCACAAGCTGTGCAGCCAAAAAAAAAGCTGTCGGTGCTATTTTTTTCCAGCATTATTTGCTCTCTTTGGGTCTCTGTGTCACATTTTGATAGTTCTTGAGATATTTCCGACTTTCTCATTTGTAGTATCTGTCAGGGTGATCAGTGACCTTTGATGTCGCTATTGCAAAAGGATTATGAGTCACTGAGGCTCAATTGACAGTTGGCATTTTTTAGCAACAAAGTATTTTAAATAAGGCCTATACATTGTTGTTTTCTTTCCTTTTTGCTTTTTGTTTATTTGTTTTGGCCTCACCTCATGGCATGTGGGATCTTAGTTCCCTGACCAGGAGTCAAATCTACTCCCCTTGCATTGGAAGCGCAGTCTTAACCACTGGACCACCAGGGAAATCCCCATGAGTGGCATCTTAATGAGATATTAAAAAAATCAAAATTAACTCTGAAATCACCGTCAGTTAAGTGTCAGGTGTACGTGTGGGGTTCCCTTCACCCTGGGCTCCCAGGGAGGGACAGCTTCCCATCTGACCTCGCCTTGGTTTCCTGCCGTCTTGGCCTTCCGTGCTCCTCCTGCCAAAAGGGGAAGCTGGGGAGGAAAGCCCAGTAGGAGCCAGTCTGTGGGGCCAGAGATCTTGTCCGAGACTGCAGCCTGGGTGCCAGGCCCTCCTTTGGGGTCAGGAAAGTTCTGGAAGGTGAGATGGTGGGAGACAGGGCAGAGACACTCCTGTGAACCCGGGTGCCCAGCTACCCTTAGACAGTGAGGTTGGCTGCTCTTGGTGATGGTGGGTTTATTCCAGAAAGTAGAGATGGGGTGGGGTGTATAGGGCACAGGAGGGAGAGGCTTGTTTCATCTTGATCCCCACGTGTGTCTCTCTCTCAGAACTGTCCCCAGCAGACCTCTCTGGCCTGTACCAACAGGAGAGGGCGGTGTGCTGTCCCGTGCCTCAGTTTCCCCATCTGTGAAATGACTAAGAGCCCACACCTGTGGGAAAAATGACGAGGAGAGCTGGACTGCGGCGGGAGGGTTGGAGAGGGTGGGGGTCTCAGACCCACTATCAAATCCAACTCTCACAGGCCGGTCCTGACCTGCCTGGGACACTCTGGTTTTAACCCTAAAAACCCCACACCTGAGAATTAATTCCCAGGTCTCAGGCCGACCAGGATAGTGATCCCCCTACCAAGCGGCAGGGCCCAGGCAGCTCCTCTGGACCTTTCCTGTGGAAGGAGGGCCCCTCCCCGGCTCTGAGCAGCCCTCTGAGCCCGGGCACAGACACTCACTGCTGTCTTGTAGCTTTGTGGGAAGTGGTGGTAGTTGTTCAGTTGTTCAGTCATGTCTGACTCTTTGCAGCCCCATGCACTGCAGCACGCCAGGCTTCCCCATCCTTCACTATCTCCCGGGGCTTGCTTTAACTCGTGTCCATTGAGTAGGTGATGCCATCCAACCATCTCATCCTATGCTCTGTTGTCCCCTTTTCCTCCTGCCTTCAATCTTTCCCAGCATCAGGGTCTTTTCCAGGGAGTCGGCCCTTCACATCAGGCAGCCAGAGTACTCGGAGTTTCATCTTTGGTGTCAGTTCTTCCAATGAATATTCAGGGTTGATGTCCTTTAGGATTGGCTGGTTTGATCTCCTTGCAGTCCAAGGGACTCTCAAGAGTCTTCTCCAGCAACACAGTTCGAAGACACTCAGCCTTTTTTATTGTCCAGTTCTCACATCCATAAACAACTACTGGAAAAACTATAACTTGGACTAGATGGACCTTTGTAGTCAAAGTAATGTTTCAGCTTTTTAATATGATGTCTAGGCTTGTGACTGCTTTTCTTCTAAGGAGCAAGGGTCTTTTAATTTCATGGTTGCACTCACTATCCACAGTGATTTTGGAGCCCAAGAAAATAAAGTCTCTCACTGTTTCCCTTGTTTCCCCATCCATTTTCCAAGAAGTGATGGGATTGAATGCCATGATGTTCGTTTTTTGAATGTTGAGTTTTAAGCCAGCTTTTTCATTCTCCTCTTTCACCTTCATCAAGAGTCTAATTCCTCTTTGTTTTCTGTCATAAGGGTGGTGTCATCTGCATATCTAAGGTTATTGATATTTCTCCCAGCAATCTTGATTCCAGCTTGTGCTTCATCCAGCCGGGTATTTTGCATGATGTACTCTGCATGTAAATCAAATAAGCAGGATGACAACATACAGCCCTGACATACTCCTTTTCCAATTTTGAACCAGTCTATTGTTCCATGTCCAGTTCTAACTGTTGCTTCTTGACCTGCGTACAGGTTTTGTAGGAGGCAGGTAAGGTGTTCTGGTATTCCCATCTCTTTAAGAATTTTCCACTCCCATCTCTTTAAGAATTTTCCACAATTTGTTGTGATCTATACAGTCAAAGGCTTTAGCATAGTCAATGAAGCAGGTGTTTTTCTGAAATTCTCTAGTTTTTTCTGTGATCCAGTGGATGTTGGCAATTTGATCTCTGGTTCCTCTGCCTTTTCTAAATCCAGCTTATACATCTGGAATTGCTCTGTTCACATATTGTTGAAGCCTAGCTTGAAGGATTTGGCCACTTGCAAAGCTAGCTGCCTTGTCACCCTCTGTAGGCCTTTTGTCAGTCCCAGGAAGGGTTTTAACCGCTTTTTTTGTTAGTTGCTCAGTCGCGTCTGACTCTGCAACCCGTGGACTGTAGCACGCCAGGCTCCTCTGTCCATGGGATTTCCCAGACAAGGATACTGGGGTGGGTTGCCATTCCCTTCTCCAGGGAATCTTTGTGACCCAGGGATCAAACCTGGGTCTTCCTTGGCAGGCAGGTTCTTTACTGTTGAGCCACCAGGGAAACCCCTGTAACCGCCTCATAGAGGCAGAATTCCCATCTCATGCAGTTCACCCAATTAAACTCTTAAGTTCGGTGGTGCTTAATTGATTTACAACTGGGTAACCATCACTTCTAATTCCAGAACATTCCATTCTCCTAAAGGAAGCTCCTTCCTGGGGAGGGGCAAGATAGTGGTAGGGAATTAGGAGGAACAAACCACTATGTATAAAGTATATAAACTACAGGGATATACTTACAACACAGGGGGTATACTCAGTATTTTATAATAAGTATAAATGGAGAATAACCTTTACAAATTGTGAATTACTATGTTGTACACCTATAACTCATATGGTGTGGTACATCAATTATGTTGTTGATGTTCAGTTGCTAAGTCATGTCTGACTCTTTGTTGACCCCATGGACTTCCACATGCCAGGCCTCCCTGTCACTTAGCATCTCCTGGAGTTTGCCCAAGTTCATCTGTATCTCTTAACAAGGATCGCACTTAAAAAGGAAACCTCGTCCCCATAGCTTTCTCCTCCCCCCATACTCCTTCCCCAGCCCCTGACAACCAGGAACCCACTCTCTGTGTCTGTGGATCGGCCTGTTCTGCACGTTTCCCATCAGTGGAATCGCACCGTGTGTGTCCTGTGTCTGCTTCTCTCACTGAGCATCATGTTCTCAGGGCCTGTCCATGTGGTAGCGGGTGTCTGGGCTTCACCACTTTTCAAGGCTGAGGGATGCCCCAGGTGTGGAGGGACCTCATTGTGTCCATCCATCACCTGCTGATGGGCCCTTAGGGTGTTTCCCCTTTGGGGCCGTTAGCATTGACGTGGCTGTGAACGCGTGTGCATGGGTTTTGTGTACATGTGTGTTACTTCTCCCAGGTAGATGCCAGCGGGGGGCGGGGGTGGCATTGCTGGGTCAGTGGTTGCTGTTTGTCCATCTGAGGAACTGCCAACCTGTCTTCCATGATGGTGGCACCAATCCCCCCCGCCATGCATGGGGGTGACAGCTTCTCCCCATCCTCCTGACACTTGCTGTGGTCTCTGTGATAGCCATCCTTATGGGGGCAGATGGCATCTCCCTGTCCTTTTGGTCCCTGATACTTTTAAATATGCGCACAGCTCTGGGCCCCTTGGGGTAGAGCAGGGAGACCTGAGTGTGTGTCCAGCTGACAGGTGTGACCTGATAGGGGCTGGTGACCTGGGCAGGCTGCGGGGGGCCCATGCGGGTGAGTGGCACCGTGTTGGTGGGGAAGAGGGCTTCACCTCAGCCCCCTGTCCCCACAGGTGAGCGGCATCAAGACATTGTACGAGGCGGAGCTGGCCGACGCCCGCCGGGTGCTGGACGAGACGGCCCGGGACCGTGCCTGCCTGCAGATTGAAATGGGCAAGCTGAGGGCCGACCTGGAGGAGGCCACCAAGAGGTGGGGCTGTGGCGGTGTGACAGCGCATGGGGCAGGGGGCGGGGGTCGTCACCCTGTGTGTGGTGGGAGGGCCCCGACTTGCAGGGCCCTCCTGGGAGCGGGCCGTGTGGGTTCTGGGGCCTGGCCCTCTGGCTGCCCTGTCCAGCACCATTATCTCCTCCAAAGAATTGGCCCCCGGAGGTGAAACCTCAGCAGCTCCCCTAGGACTGAATCCCTTGGTAGCTGGCACCACCATGCCCCCAACCCTTCCCCAGCGAAGAGGTGCTCTAGGCCACAGAGCCAGCCTTGACCCCCTTTCCCCCCTTGTGCCCGCCCTGGGAAGCCGGGGAGCGGTGGGTGACCTTCTCTTCCAGATCGCAAAGCACCATCTCCTGGCTGCTCTCCAGTAAAAGTGTCACAAGTCTGGAGAACGAGGCAGCGCTGGTGGTGACGGTAGCAGAGGGAATGAAGTGACGTGAACTCAGCGAGCGTTTAGATCAGGACCCCTCCACCCTTGCACACGGCAACCCCTGCGGGCCAGACTGGCTACAGGGACGCTGAGCACGATGTCTGGAGACTCAGCCACGCAGGGTTCCCCGGCTCAGCAGAACCAGCTCCGGAGGCCCCGTTCACAGTCCCGGCGGCAGCTGAGGGCCGCCTTCATGTGTGTGGGATTCTTCTTTTCTAATTAGACTTTTTTACTTTTTTTGGGAGGAGCAGTTTTAGGTTTGCAGGAGAATGAGTGGAAAACACAGGGTGCCCCAGACCTCCCTCCAGGGTCCTATGTTGCGAGCATCTCCCAGTATCGGGTGTGCTACATTGTTACAACTGATGAGCCAATATGAACACATTTTTATCAGCTGAGTCCCACCTCACACAGGGGCTCGCCCTTGGTGTGGACACATGCACACTGACACGTGTGCACCAGCATGGTGCTCACCTAGTGTGCACATCGTGTCACAGGGCGTGGTCCCTGCCCTGAGAATCTGCGCCTCCCCACACCGCCAGCCCCTGGAGGCCGGGGGTCCTTCCTCTCTCCACAGCTCTGCCGTTTCCACAATGCCTACGGTTGGGACCAGCGTGTGCCGCCTCCGCAGACCGTCCCCTGTCACTTAGCGGGGCGTTTCTGGTTCCCGCCTGGAGCAGAGCAGCGAGCCCAGAGGCAGACCCGCACAACACGGTCACCTGGTATCTGATGAGGCAGTAGGGCCAGGTAGACAGGACAGCCCATCCATGTGTTAGGACTGTGCATTAAAAAGTGCCATGCTTTTTGGAGAAGAGCAAGAGAATGAATGCTGGAGAATTCTGGAATTCCCCCAGCCTCTGTCACATCCACACAGGTTCTGGAATCTTCCAGACACCCTGAACCTGTGTGTGACTCCTTGGATGGGCTGAGAAGTCACGTTTCTGCTTGTCAGAGTCATAGATGCTCCCTGGGGAGAAGGCAGATAACGCAGTTATCTTAAGGAGAAAAACGAGGGCTTCCCCGGTGGCTCAGTGGTAAAGAATCCACCTGCCAATGCAGGGGACACGGTTTCCATCTCCGGCCTGGGAGGATCCCACACACCTCGGAGCAGCTGAGCCTGTGTACCACGACTGCCAAGCCTGTGCCCTAGAGCCTGCAAGTCGCAACTGCTGAAGCCTGTGTGCCCTAGAGCCCGTGCTCTGCAATAAGAGAACCCTCACACCACAACTAGAGAGTAGCCCCCACTTGCCACAACTAGAGAAAAGCCTGCACAGCAGTGAAGACCCAGCACAGCCAAAATACAGAAGTAACGTTTTAAAGAGAGAAAAATGAAAGTCTCTGAGCCTCCGCGCAGACAGAACCTGAGGCCGATCTGGGGCATGCTTCTCCGCCTTTCTTAATTTACACTCAGGGTGGGCACCCTTAGATAACAGAACGCTTTGTCTAGCTTGAGCCTGGCATTGATGTCACATGTGTCACGACGCCTCCCCAGTGCCTGGGCCTGTCACAGGCTCCTATGATGGCTTCAGTGACAGCTCTGCCCCTCCATCGGGCACCCTGGCCAGTGACTTACCTTGGCTCCCACTGTCGAGGGAAGGCTTCCCCAGTCTCGAGTACTTGGGTCTGCAGGCGATTTGCCTACCGGCCTCACTTCCTGCTCTTGGGCTCAGAGCCCTTGCAGACGGTGTGGGTGGCCAGTGACCCTGAACAGGGTGTTCCTGCTGTGAGGTGACAGCCTGTGCTTTTCTTTTTCAACCACGAGTACTGCGAAAACCCTGTGATGATGGAAACGCGGGTGGAGGACCTGACAGGCTGGGCTCTCCTGCCTAATCCTCCAGGAATCACGGTTCCAGGGGAGGAACTTTGTACCCTTAAGCTGTCAAGCATCAGAAACTTAAGCCACTGAGGGTCGCCAGCACCCCTGCTTCCCAGACCATTCCGTGTCCTTCTTCAGCTCTGTAGCACAGGGTGACAGTGTTGAGAGATAGTCCACATTTCCTGATGCCTCTGCTCCTGTCGCCCTGGCCGCACAGCTGATCTCGACCTGCCCGCCCAGGTCACCCTAGGACTGCGTTCTCTTTGCTCTCCCCAGTGCCCTGGGAACCACGGCCCAGCTCAGGCCCCAGGCCCCGGCTTCTCAAGGGCTGTGCCCAGTAGCTCCTGCCCTGCGTGTGTTCCTTCTGTCTCCTCCCCCTGCACCTGAGGGCAGCGGGTCTCACTGCTCTCTGCACCCCCTGATGATGGGGAGTCCACAGACGTTTCTCTAGTGAGAGGACAGCGTGTCCATGAAGCTGGCCCTCAGTAGTGGTCTATCAGACAAAAGAGTCTAGTTTCCCCAAACCCTCTAAGGATATGGGGTTTGCAGCCCACCCCCCTCCCTTGAGTGGAAGGACTGTGTGGCTCAGGAATGTGGACTGTGGGACCCCACACCCTTATGGAGGCTGTGGGTGCCACGTCTGCCTGGAGGTCCTGTCCCAAGGACTGCTGTGAGGATGGGACCGGCCTGGTGACTGAAGTCATTGGGCTGTATCCCTCCCCCACACACCTCACTCAAACTGGTGTGGTGTCCCTGGGGGACACTTGGCGATGTCTGGGGACGTCTGTGGTCATCAGGACCCAGGAAGGGTGATGCTGATCTGACCATCACTCTGCTGTCCCCACTGGTGCTGGGCAGGGCGCAGTTTTAGTTCGTTGGTGGGGAAGTGGGTATCTTTCAACCCCAAAGAGATTTGGAGCACCATTCAGAAATGTTCACGCTATTAAGAGTTGTATGTTGGTACTTCTCTGGTGGGCCAGTGGCTAACTCCGATCTTCCAGTGCCGGGAACCTGGGTTCGCTCCCTGGTCAGGGAACTAAGATGCCATATGCTGCACAGTGCAGCCAAAAAAACAAAAGAGAGAGTTGTGTATTTAGAAAGTCTCTTTGGCGTCTTAGATGTTTCACATTGGAGATATCTATTAGAAGTTCAGCGAGCCTGCCTGAAATAGCTTAACTTTACAAATGAGATCAACGTTTAAAAGGACAGGGTTTTAATTTGTTACTTTAGTAAATTATACATTAAAAAAAAAATCAGAGTTCTCCTGTAAATGGTCCCTCCTGTGCCCAAAAGTCAGGGAAAAGGACACGAAAACCCACATCTTGAGGGTTATTTTGAGTGGCTGGCGGGGTCCCCGTGGGGCAGAGCGGATTTGAAGACAGGGCCCCTTTGGTGCTGACAGATGAGGCTCTGGTACTGAGAGCATGGGTAGGTGAGGGTCTGGGCCCCGAGGCAGCCATGGACTTGGCCTTGGGGTCAGTGCTGCCTACTAACTTCTGCTCCTGACTTTCAGCGCCAAGAAGAAGGAGGGCGAGCTCACGGTGGCCCAGGGCCGCGTCAGGGACCTGGAGTCTGTGTTCCACCGAAGCGAGGCTGAGCTAGCGGCTGCACTTAGTGACAAGCGCACCCTAGAGAACGATGTGGCAGAGCTGCGGGCCCAGCTGGCTAAGGTAGCTGCAGGTGGTGCAGGCTGTGGGCTCCCCCTTCACCCCCACCCTTGCCCAGTCCATACCCCAGGGGAGTTTGGAGGCTCAGGAGATCCCCGAGGACCTTATGTGGCAGCAGACAGTGTCACCAGCTGCTTGTCCTGCATTTCCAGGCAGAGGATGGGCACTCGGTGGCTAAGAAGCAGCTGGAGAAGGAGACACTGATGCGCGTGGACCTGGAGAACCGCTGCCAGAGCCTGCAGGAGGAGCTGGCCTTCCGCAAGGATGTCTTTGAGGAGGTGGGTCATCCCCCCCATTCCCTGGCAGGAGCCAGGGTGTTCCCCCACTTCCCGCTTCTCCCTGCCTCGGGGACTCATCTGATACTTGTCTCCGTCATCACGCAGCTGTCTTCTCTGTCTCTCTGTGCATCTGCGTCTCTTATAGCGACACTTGTCCTTGGGTTTGGGGCCACCCGGATAATCCAGGATGGTCTGGAGCCCTGTATCTTAATCACACCTGCAAAGACCTTTGTCCAGGAAGGCTACATTGGCAGACCCTAGGGATCAGCACATGGGCATGCTTCTCGGGGGTCATCATTCAGGCTCCTGCAGACCTTCCCCGGCCTCCTTGCCTCTGGGCCTCGGCTCCCTGGTTTGGCAGGACTGACTTGGCCCTGGCCCCACTGGCCTCCCACCTGGTCCTGGCCCATTGTGCTTTCACAGCCCAGATGGAACCCGGAGGCAGCCACTGCCGGGCTCACTGCAGTGTGTGGGCGGGTGAAATGTCCATGCAACTGCGGAGTGGCCTCCAGCTCCTGCCAGGCCCCACTGCAGCCAGAGCTGCCCTGGATCCCGTGAGGAGGCCTAGGGGGCGGGAGGGCCCCTGAGGTGGGCCAGGGGTGGGGTACGGGCTGAGGGTACACTGTGCTCCTTGGCTGTTTGTGAACGCAGTGCCTTCCTGTGGACACGTTCCTGTAGTCTTCACCCACGGGGGCCAGACACATGTGACTGACGTCTGTGCAGGGAGTTTTGTCAAGTGGGGCTTCCCCACCTGCCCTTGACCCCACCACTGCCTGGTCAGCTCCTGGTTGGTGCGGCCAGGGCCAGCTGGTCACTGCCATTACCCACTGCTGTTCTATCCTAGATCCCAGGCCCCTGTGATGGGCCACATTAGGAATTTTTTTTTTAAAGAATTCTTTTTTTTTATTAACAACTTTATTAAAATAGTTCCCTACCAGAAAGCTTTCAAAGTTTACCATGTAGACTGGATCTTAGTCCATTCCCAGAGCTGTGCAGCCATCCCCTCTTAATTCCAGAACATTACCCCCAAAAGAAATTCTGTAGGTGCTTCCATTAGCATTCTTCCAGTTTTCCTATATAACAAAACTATTTTTAAAACATACAATTTAATGAAAATTTAGCACAGGATCGTTCAACCATCACTGTTTAGTTCTAGAACATTCCATCACGGCAATAGAAGCCCATCCCCATCAGCAGTCACCCGCACCCCTTCCCCTAGCTCCTGACAACCAGGAACCCACTCTTGCTGTGGATCAGCCTTCTCTGGACGTTTCCCATCAGTGGACTCACACCCTGTGTGTCCTTCTGTGTCTGCTTCTCTCACTGAGCATCCTGTTCTCAGGGTCCGTCCACGTGGTAGCGAGTATCAGGGCTTCTCTCCTTTTCAGGGCTGAGTGATGCTCCTGTGTGTGAAGGCATAGGTGTGTTAATCGGCAGTCAGCTGGGGGCTCTGGGTCATGGTTCTTGGGTGGTTGTGAATCGTGTGGGTGTGAACAGGTGGCCCGGGCCTACCCCAGAGGGTCACCAGTGGCAGAATTGGGCGCCCTCGCTCCGGCTGCGGGGGAGAGTCAGGGACGCCTGTGACAGGACCAAGGCAGGCAGTGAGCGCGGGGCTTTGTCCGCAGGAAGTGCGTGAGACGCGGCGGCGGCATGAGCGCCGCCTGGTGGAGGTGGACAGCAGCCGGCAGCAGGAGTATGACTTCAAGATGGCCCAGGCGCTGGAGGAACTGCGCGCCCAGCACGACGAGCAAGTGCGGCTGTACCGTCTGGAGCTGGAGCAGACCTACCAAGCCAAGGTGTGCACGCAAGCATGCCTGCCGGTGGGCATTGGGCCGTCCACCCCCGCCCTCTGTGCCGGCCCTCATGCCTGCCCTTGTCTCCTCAGCTGGACAACGCCAAGCTGAGCTCTGACCAGAATGACAAGGCTGCCAGCGCCGCCCGGGAAGAGCTGAAGGAGGCCCGCATGCGGGTCGAATCCCTCAGCTACCAGCTCTCCGGCCTCCAGAAGCAGGTGACTCACCAGAGCCCCAGCCCCGACCCCTCCTCGGACCCCGCCTCATCCCCTCCCACGGCCCGAGAGGCCTGCAACTGGGTGGGCTTTCCCCACCATGACGCGCGTGGACCCTGCTGCAGGCGAGCGCGGCCGAGGACCGGATCCGTGAACTAGAGGAGACCGTGGCTGGGGAGCGGGACAAGTTCCGGAAGATGCTGGACGCCAAAGAGCGAGAGATGATGGAGATGCGGGACATGATGCAGCAGCAGCTGGCCGAGTACCAGGAGCTGCTGGACGTCAAGCTGGCCTTGGACATGGAGATCAGCGCCTACCGAAAGCTGCTGGAGGGAGAGGAGGAGAGGTGGGCGTGGCAGGGGCGGGGCGAGGGGAGGGGTGGGGCGAGTGTGCCGTCCCTCCCTCTCCAACACCCCACCCCTTCACCTCAGCCCCTGGTAACCCCGCACCCCCGCCCCCAGGCTGAAGCTGTCCCCCAGCCCATCGTCGCGGATCACCATCTCACGGGCCACAACGAGCAGCGGCAGCAGCGTGTCCACACCCGGTCGCCCGGGCCGCAGCAAGCGGAAGCGGCTGGAGGTGGAGGAGCCTCTGGGCACGGGCTCCAGTGGCCTCGGCTCCAGCAGCAGTACCAGCAGCAGCGGCAGATTCCACCTGGCGCAGCAGGCCTCAGCCTCAGGCAGCGTCAGCATTGAGGAGATCGATCTGGAGGGCAGGTTCGTGCAACTGAAGAACAGCTCTGACAAGGTGAGGCCTCGCCCCGTGCTGCGCCGCCCCGTCAGGGGAGGCCCCCCGGGGTTGCCCAGAGCCCTGTGCCAACGCCAGCACCCTTCCTCAGGATCAGTCTCTGGGCAACTGGAGGATCAAGAGGCAGGTCCTGGAAGGGGAGGAGATTTCCTACAAGTTCACCCCCAAGTATGTGCTGCGGGCCGGCCAGACTGTCACGGTAGGTGGCTGTGGAGGGGCAGGTTGTGAAGTGTAGCTGGGATGGGGCAGGGGGCCGGGGCACCGCAGGGGACCCGCCGCTGAGAACAGCTGCCTGCGATCGCGGATGGCTTGTGTGTCCACATTTCTTCATCGGAGCCTTCCCTGGAGCTCTTGGGAGGCCTGAGTGATGTGCCAGGGGCTCGCGGTGTGGGTCAAACTGGGTCTAGGCTGTCTGTCTGGGCTGGCAGGCAATGTGCCAGCCATGTTAACAGTCACAGGCACAGACTCTAGGTCACCTGATCCCAGTCTGGCTCATTTACTGAGATGAAAGCCCTTGGCCACTGTGAACCTCAGTCTCCTTCCATACTGGAGTGATTAAATCCTTGGGCAGGATCTAAGAGTCCTAGAAGGATTAAACACCCAGGGCATCAAGGGGACCTGTGATGAATGGCTGGCTGGTGACCACTAGGATTGGAGCCCACTTTAACAGGGAAGCCTTCCTGTGTCCCCAGGTGTGGGCAGCTGGAGCTGGGGTGGCTCACAGCCCCCCATCCACACTCGTGTGGAAAAGCCAGAACAGCTGGGGCACCGGTGAGAGCTTCCGGACCACCCTGGTCAACGCTGATGGGGAGGTGAGTGCCTCCCGCTGCCTGGGTCTTGGGGCCCCTCCTGGGTGGATGGAGCCTTGGCCGCCAGGTACATGAGTGCAGCCTGGGCCTGGGCGTCCGACTGTCTCCCCTGCAAGCTGGGCTCCTGGGGAGGGGAGGGGTTTGTCTGCAGCTCTCATCTCGTACAGGAAGTGGCCATGAGAACCGTGAAGCAGTCTTCGGTGGTGCGGGAGACCGAGAATGGGGAGGAGGGCGAGGACGAGGCAGCTGAGTTTGGAGAGGAGGATCTTTTCCACCAGCAGGTAGAGGTTCCTAGGCACGCCTATGCGCGCGCACACACACACACACACACACACACACACACACATCCCGGGCCCTGTTCATGCAGCTGCCCTGGGCATCACCCAGGCGACCGAGCTCACAGCAGACAGGCTGTGGGGTCAGCTGCCCTGCCCCCTGGGCCTGCCTGTTGTGTGGACCTCTGGTACCCGCCTAGGATCACCGGGAATGGGGTTGCAAAGCTGATTATATCTATGACCCTGGTACAGCCCCAGGGCTTCTCAGCCCACCTGCTGTTACCGTGATTCCACCAGACTGATATGCTGGTGACTTCATAATGGTTTTGTGGGGAGGATGGGGGGCTGAGGAACCACGCTGAACGAGACATGAGTGCAGGGCTTTTCTGGGTCTAAGACCATTGTAATGAGTCTTGTGGCTCAGAACAGGAATGAGGGAGACATGGAAGGTTCTGGAACAGGAGCCATGGAGGCTGGGGTTATCTTGTTGGAAGCTGAGCTTCCCTGGTGGCTCAGGCCCAGCCCGGTCCAGCCCCTCCTGGTGGGAGGGCAGGGGGCCACCAGCTAGCTGCCTGGCCAGGTTGGCATGTGCCTGCCACCCCGGGCTCACCTCATTACACCATCCTTCCTTCCAGGGGGACCCGAGGACCACCTCTCGAGGCTGCCGCGTCATGTGAACCGAACACGCCTCATCACATGTCTTTCTTTACCTAGAGCCACTGAAAACTATTTTTATATCATTGGCTTCTTTAATCCTTGGTACATTTCTAGAGAATTTTTAAGCAAACTGCCAGAGCATGGGGGTGGGTCTCTACTGATCTTTCCTGTCGGCGGGTTTCCTGGGACCCTTCACCACTGACCAGACTGTGTGGGTGCCCTGTCCACCAGCCCAGGAGCCTAGTGGCTAGCAGACTTGGAGCAGTCCAGCAGGTGTGGGAGGAGGCCCATCGGCTGCGTGGGTCTCTGCTGCAGCGTGGAGTCGGGGCAGGAGAGGAGGCCTGGGGTGGACAGAGTGAAACTGCATAAGGATCCCATAGTTGTTTGTTTCATTTAAGCTTTCAAAAAAAAACAAGTTCAGAATCCAGCTTCTGACCTGGTGGGGAGGTGGGGCACCCCTGCAGAGTTTCTGTGGCTCAGCCAACTAAGCACCGGAAGGAGGGCTGGAAGCATCTTGTACTGTCAGACCTGGGCTTCGGGCGGTTTCTGCTCGGCCCTTGGGAGTCGGGTGTGTGGGGCGGGCCGTTTGGCTCCCTCTCTGGCTGCCGGAGCCTCACGTTTCTGGACGTTTCTGCAGTCAACTTCCTCACCCTGTGGGACAGGCAAGAAGGAAGCTTGGGACCTGGGGACGATTCCTCTCTTGAGACTTATCTCCAGGTCAGTGTCAAGGGGATGAGTGTGACAACCTTGGACATGATGGCCATGTGCGACACCGCTTTCTGCCCTCCAGTCGGCGGAGGGCGACGAGGGCGAGCCGTGGGACTCCGTGGCTCCAGCTCTGTGCCTTGTGCACGGGGCATGCCCACTCCTGTGTTCTTGGGTGCACACTGATACACTAGCTCCTCTGTAGCTTCCTGCTGAAATGGTGTTTCTTAGACAGACCTGCCCGTGCCAGCAGACCTCTGTGGGATGCTCCATGCCACAGCCCAGCTTTTGATCACCCAGAGACCCCCCTCCCTGCATCAGTTCACCTTTGACCTGCGCCACGTAGATACACAGAAGTTATTTTTTTAATGGATATTTATTTTTTTACATTGGTCAGTACACAGGTTGCCGGGCTCCCACCTCAGGGGCTCACTCAAGGGTCACTGGGACAGTCCCACAGAGGGGTGGCATCAGGGGGCTCTGTCCCTATGGGCTTTGCACCCTTGGCTGACTCTTCAGAAAGCGCAGCTCAAGTCTTAAAGACGCAATACTGAGCCATGGAGGCGGGCTGGCCCCTGAAGGCAGCGTGCTTCCAGGTAGGCTGAGTGCCAGCCCCTTGGGATTTACCCAAGGCTGGAGCAGCCCGTCCACCTCTTTTCCCTGGGAACTGCTCATGGTGAGGAAGGCCCAAGCCCCAGGACAGAAAAGTGTCAGCCACTGGGAAAACCAAGCTGCTACCAGGTCAGAATCTTCCTGCAGGCCAAGGCTTTAAGTTTGGGCATCTTTCCTTGGCCACCAGAGTCCTTGGCCCGAGGGCTGTGCTTGCCCTGTGGAGGGAGGTGGCCTCACCAGAAAAATGGTGCCGCCCCTGAGAAGCGTCCTGTCCCGACAGCACCTTCTCTGTACCCCGCTCCCTCACCCCTACCCCCCTGCAGGAGTGCTTCCGGGTGCAGGCTGCTCCCTTCCCCTGGCATAAAAGGAGCTGAGTGGTCTGGAGAGCGTGATGGGGTCTGGGTGGTCCTGGGACAAGTGGAAACTGCGCTGGTCTCCGCCACACCCTTCAGGGTGTTTTGGAAATCTCTGGGGATCAAAGCTGTGTCCTGGAATTCCGGGTGTGAGGCAGTTTTGCAGGCTGGGCTTGAGGATTTCAGGAAGGAAAGGAGAGGGCCCCACCCTCCTGGCAGGCCCAGAGGGCCTAAAAAACAGCCCCAGGGTTTGCCCAGTGCCTGCAGAACCCCCAGGCTCATTAGATGACTTCTTGATTTCAGCCAGGTCTTGGTCTCATCCTCGCCCAGTGGTTGCCTGACTGAGGTCTTGAGTGGAGCTGAGGAAGTGGCCCTGGCAGGCTGGGATGCCCTTGACTGGTGAGGGGAGGGTGCGCTGGACCGGTGGCCAGTTGTGGCTGGATGTTGGTGACAGTCTTTGGTAATCAAGTAGTTGGAAACACAGGACAAAGTCCAATGTTACAATGTCAGCCTTGGCCTGAAAAACAGAATTTGCACTTGTCCTTAAACATGCTTAACTTTAAACCACTTGAAATGATGCAGAAGCGATTTTTTTCTGAGCCCGTGTCATGTGAGGAGAAGCACCCTTCTAGAGAAAGAACCACTCGGCCCAGCCCTCGGAAGGGACCCAGTGCCGCGGAGACACGGACGCCTTTTTCCCCGTGGTCTGGGCGCTCAGTTTTCATCACAGCCAGGCTCTGACCTGGGCTCGTTTTTACCACACCGTCTACCCAGCAGTTCTATTTATATCAGCACATCCGAGCGGGGACTGCCATTCCTCAAGGACATTAACGCTATTGGAAAGGTCTTATTCCGAGCCCAAAAGGGATCATCAGCACTACATGCCAGGGGACTCAATTTCAGCAACCGGCTGTGTAGACACATTTCAGATGGTGATTTTTAAGATGCATGCCAAACGTGTGATCTTTTGTTTCCTCCAATGATTTGTAAAATACGTTTTAAGACTGGAAACTTTTGTACAACATCCAATAAAACATTTTGGTTTTAAATTCTGCCCGTGAGTTACTACTCCCACGCCAGGCTGCTGCAGTAGGAGCCCAAGCCACTAGTTAAGCGGGTGTCTTAGGACCGCGCGGACCGCTAGGGTTTTCTGCATTCCCCCATCTGATCCACCGACCCCCCCCCGCAGCGCTCTTGGTCCCCTAACGGCCTGGCGCTATGGGGCTTGCGAAGCGCAGGGTAGGCGCGCCCATCGTCCAGTGTGCACGCGCGGCGGGACCTTTGGGGGCGGAGCCTAAGCACGGAGGTGCGGGCCTCGGCACCGGAAACCGACTTCGGCCCCTTCCTTTCTGCGCGTGCGCGGGAGGCTTCGCGCGGCTTTATGGGACTCGTAGTCCAGACCCTACTCCCACCCACCGGAACTCCATTTCCCGTGGGGCCCTGGGGCAGCGGACTTCCGGCGTGGGTGCGGGTCGGCGCACGCGGCGGCGGTCCGGTTGACTTTGCGGAGCCATGGAGGGCGGGTTCGGCTCGGATTTCGGGGGCTCTGGCGGCGGGAAGCTGGACCCAGGGCTCATCATGGAGCAGGTGAAAGTGCAGATCGCCGTGGCCAACGCGCAGGAGCTGCTGCAGGTCCGGGGCTGGCCGGGGGCTGGGTGGGAGGCTGAGGGCTGCGGGATCCGTCGGGGCCGGTGTCGCAACTGAGGGCTCGCGTGTTCCCACAGAGGATGACGGACAAGTGCTTCCGGAAGTGTATCGGGAAGCCGGGGGGTTCCCTGGACAATTCGGAGCAGGTAAAACCAGGGGTGGCGGGGTCGCGGGCTGGACCCGGTTGGGGTGGCCTCCGCGCGTGCGCTGACTTAATAAGGCGGCGTGGAGAGTATGCTGCGCGTGCGCAGTCCGCTGCCGGGGTGGGGGCACCAGCCGAGGTCCAGACCTGAGCGGCTCGTCCTTACCTTCCCCAGAAGTGCATCGCCATGTGCATGGACCGCTACATGGACGCCTGGAACACCGTGTCACGTGCCTACAACTCGCGGCTGCAGCGGGAACGAGCCAACATGTAACCGCGACGCGCCAGCAGACCAACCCCCCATCCTGGCCCTACCCCCGGGACCCATTTCCATAAACGCTGTTTGTGAGGCGGGGTCCTGCATGTGCGTTCTGCCTCCCAGATGTTTGTGAGGACGACATTGGTGCTGGGACCGTTGGGACTCTGCCCGTCCTTTCCACCTAGCCGTCCACCTGCTAACCGGTGTAGCTTGGGTCTTGGTGGGGGCGGCCCTGGCTGCGGTGCCACCTTTGTGCGCCTGTTAACGGATTATGTCGTATGGACTGTCCGTGGTGGGGCCTCAACCCCGCTTACGCTGTCTGCCTGGGAGGAGGGTGCTGCTTGACACATCATAGGCTTCAGTGGCCAGAGAATGGAGAAGCTTGAACTAGTTCAGGGCTGAATTCCACAATCCCCTGCGAGAGGGATTTAATTTTAAAGGGAGGAGTGAGGTCAGTGATGGGGAGCCATGTTTATTAGTTTACCTGAGAAGGGGCAGGGCTTTTTTGAGGGAGTGGGGGACCACCCCCTCTTTATCCTGTTTTGGTCTTTTAGTGTATGGTACTGGCTGCTGGGAGGTGTGTTTAATACGTTCATACAGTAAAACCAGCATGTAATGAGATGCAGGGTCTGTTGGAGTTTGAATTGCTGCCATCTTGGTCTCAGCTGGTTCCACTTGTTTTTTTCTTTGTGTGTGTGGCGGGGGACGTTTCACTTTTCATCTCTGGACCCTTGAACTTAAAGGTTTATGTTAACTCTTGCTAAACGTGGGGAGGGGGTGTGGTTGGCAGGTTTTAAGCAAATTCCTGGCTTATCCCTGGTGACAAAGCCTCCGCTTTTCTTGTTACTGCTCCTTATTGTTGAGGCACGCTGGAGGACAGATGGTTTGACTTCTGAGGCTGTTTTTTTGCTGAATACGGGTGTGGTGGTTCCCTGATTGAGGGTGGCAGAACTGTTCCGTGATGACCCTAAAATATATGTGATGGTTACCAGGCTGCAGTCCCACGTGCTTGCATCCTTGCATTCGAATCGTCCTGAAGTTTGATGACTTCAAGCTGTTCACTAATGGAAGTTGAGGAGGCAATTAAGGAGGCCTGCCCAGAAATGAGCAGGCAGATGATAGCAGTTAGTGGTAGAGAAATGGAAGAAGCCGGGCTAAGCCAAGGAGGCCTCTGACGATATTCCAAATGGAACTTGGGTTGGGACCGAGTGTGTTATATCTGTGTAACCACTGAGCTTGCTTATACCTGTGTTTTGTGTTTACCTTGATCTGACCAGAATGATTGATGCCCATGTAGCAGGTCTTAACTGTGCAGACTTCCCCTTAGGTAGGAGATAATCAAGGGGCAGCCTGTCGTTGAGAATATTTGCTACTGAGTCCAGAGAAGAGTGGAGTCCTTGTAAGGCATCCGCCGTGTTTTTAGACAAGTCCTCTGGGGCCTGTGTGAGACTCTAGGGGGCTGCTAGTCAGAGACTGATGACCGATCCCTTCTCCTGCCACAGTGAGTCCCGTTGCTCTTCTATCTCAGGGCTGGGTGATGTCATGAATGGTTTTATCTGGGTTGTGAGAACTTAGCCGCGTGCATTGTGCACAAATTGGGATTTGTCTAAGCAAGGGCGAGCTGGGGACTTCCCTGGCAGTCCAGTGATTGGGACTCAGCACTTTCACTGCAGGAGACCAGGGTTCAATCCCTGATTGGGGAACTAAGGTGCCACAAGCTTCGAGGCATGGTTAAAAAAAAAATGGGGGGTAACTTAAGGTCTGTGGCAGATTCATTGGTATGTTGAGTGGGTGGCTCAATAACTTCTTTCTCAGGTGTAGGTGATGTCATTTTAGCATGGTGGTCCGTGGAATCATGCCCTGTAATCAATCATCAGGCAGAGTGGGTGGTTGAGATTACTAGGGAAGGTCCTGCCCACCTATGGTCTGGGCTTCCCAGGTGGCTCAGTGATAAAAGGATCCTCCTGGCAATGCAGGAGATGCAGGTTCGATCCCTGGGTCGAGGCGTTCCCCTGGATGAGGAAATGGCTACTCACTCCAGTATTCTTGCCTGGAAAATCACACAGACAGAGGAGTCTGGCAGTCTACAGCAGCACCTGGGGGTCTAACTGGTCTTGCGGATTTCCAGCATCCCAGGTTCTCAAGCCCGGTCTCCAGGGAGAAAAGGATGTGAAGTGATGTCAGAAGGGGAGGCAGCTCCAGATCCTTGTAGGTGTGTACAGCTCTGACTCCTCTCTAAGGCGTGTTTCAGTGCGTCCGTCTCCCTGAAGTGGGTTTTGGAGCTGGGTCCTAGAGGAAGGGGCACCCCTCACATGCCCCCACGTGGACCCCACCTGTGTGTCCCTCAGGGCCTGTCCATGTTCTCACAAGTGCTCTAGGGGAGGGAGAGCTGGGGCAGGTGAGTGAGTGGGCATTATTTGGCTGAGTTTCTTTTGAGAGTTTGATTTGTTTTAGTTTTCCTGACAATTGTGGTCTCCAAGTGACATGAAAAGCCCACTTAATTCCTAGAGCTCTAGAGACTTCCTTAGAAATTTGGGAAACAAAGGTAGGCCTGTCGTGACTCTGGATGGACTTGGGAAGCCCAGACCGAGGGGTTATTTCCTTGAGCAGGGTCTTGGAGAACTCCAGGGCAGTATCTGTTTGGGTGGGGCACGCCTCAGTCTAGCTGGCGAGGGTGTCAGTGACAGCCAGCAAACATCTGATGTTTCCTTGTGTCCGGGGCATCCCTAGAAAATCAGTCTGCCAGTCTTGACCTGGATGGTGTGGCTCTATCCCACATGGGGGTCACTCCCTTGACTTTGCAGGGGGTGGGGGTGGGGGGGGTGTTGGGCTTATTCCGGAGGCAGACAGAGTGAGCTTCAACCGCATTTAAGGAGACTGGAGAACAGGGATGGTCGTGGACTTGATGAGACACTGACATGGGGCCTCCTGACCGTACTGTGTACTCAGTTGAGCTGCCCGGATGGCCTGCAGTGTGGTGGCCGACAGGAGCAACAGCTGCCCGTGACCATTAACCATCCACCCCAGGCATTCAGGGTTTTTAAGATACCACCATCTGAAAGCCTGCTCCCTTTGTTCTGGGGTGTAGATGGGAGCATACCGAAGTCCGTGATCCCTGCTCCGCTTGTTCAGCTGCTGTGTCTGCCCTGTTATTCCTTTTGTTATTCCTGCATCTCCCTCTTGGTAGCCTCTGTGGTGAGTGACCGCTGCCTCCATTGGCTTTAGAATCAGTGTAGCTGCAGACAGCTTGCCCTTTCCCCAACTCTAGTGCCCTGGCCTCTACGCAGAGCAGCCAGAGGGCAGAGCTGTAGCATCCTCTGCGAGAGTGATGGACCCAGGGCACGCCCTCCTTTGCGGTTCCATCTTTTGTGACGCTCCTCCCATGGGTGAAACACTCAGATTCTGCAGGTCCAGAATCCGGGGGTGACCCTGTCCCATGACTTCCTCCCAATCTCGGATTAACCTTGGGCCTGGCTGAGGGTGCAGGCAGGCTGAGGACATTGCAGGACCTCCGTCACCAACAGGTTGTCTGCCTCCCGCCCCTTTCCTTATGAAGGGCAGGACATGGTCGGGGTGAGGGGGGTCCAGATGGTCAGGAGCTGTCCAGAGGTTAATCCTCACCTCTCTGAGGAGCCGAGAATTAACAGCTACAGCCTGTGAGCACAGGGCATTCCTTCAGAACTTTGGTCCAGTTGTTCAGAATAGCCTGCAGCCTGAGTCAGAGGCCCCAGGTTTGGGGAGGCGCCCCTGGTGAGTTCTTCTGTGTGTGTGTGTGCGTGCGTGCGTGCGTGTGCGCGCTCCCCTGGTGAGCCTGAGTCAGAGGCCCCCTGGTAAGTTCTTCCGTGTGTGTGTGGGCGCACGCGCGCTCCCCTGGTGAGCCTGAGTCAGAGGCCCCAGGTTTGGGGAGGCGCCCCTGGTGAGTTCTTAGGTGCGTGTGCGCATTCCCCTGGTGAGCCTGAGTCAGAGGCCCCAGGTTTGGGGAGGCGCCCCTGGTGAGTTCTTCCTTGTGTGTGTATGTGTGCGCGCGCGCTCCCCTGGTGAGTTCTTCCGTGTGTGTGTGTGTGTGCGCACACTCCCCTGGTGAGTTCTTCCTTGTGTGTGTGTGTGTGGGCGCGTGCACATGCATGTGGATGGAGCAGCTGCTTGGGTCCGGTGAAGCTAACGTGGGTACTCCCATGGGAGGCCTTTTCAGTTCCAGGAGCACTTGGTCACAGCCAGGGGTCCACTCTAAAGGGTCAGGCTCCTTCACTTTTTAAAACTTCGTGTTTGTTTATTTTTGGCTGTGCTGGGTCTTCGTTGCTGCGTGGGCTTTTCTCGTTGGGGAGAGCGGGGACTTCTCTCCAGCTGCAGTGCACGGGTTTCCCCTTGCACTTGCTCTCATTGCGGAGCACGGACTCCAGAGGGCATGTGCTTCAGCAGTTGCGGCCCCTGGGCTCGCTCAGTGGTTATGGCACAGGGGCTTAGTTGCCCTGGCATGTGGGACCTTCCCCAGACCAGGGATGGATCCTGTGTTTCCTGCATTGGATTCCTTTACCAGTGAGCCCCCAAGGAAGCCTGGTCCTTCCCTTTTTTTTTTTTTAAAGATTTATTCTTGAGACGTTTAACATTTCTTTCTCATATTAAAGCCTGCAATCTGGTGTGCGTTTTGTGCTCAGTTGTGGCCAACTCTGCGACCCCATGGACTGTAGCCGGCCAGGCTCCTCTGTCCATGCATGTCTCAGGCCAAGAATACTAGAGTGGGTGGCCATTTTGTTCTCCATGGTCCCTCACTTTTAATTGTTCATACCAGAGCTTAGTAATCTAAGCTAAAGTTAGGGATCCCTATACAACAGAACCCGGCCATCCCCAGGAAACACCAGAGCTGCTTTCTTGTACTGAGGGTGCCCTCTGACAAGGCCCCTCTCTCCTCTCCCTCCACTGTGCCCTGGGCCCCTCTGTGATGATGAGCCCTCAAGAGCTCTGCCTGCTGGGGGAGGGTTGGGTTTTCTCCTTTGAAACTTGAGGTCCTCTCTCAGCCAGGGGATTTACAATGTTAACTGTGCTGTGGCAGACAGCTCTTTGATGGACTGGCAGAATGTCATCCACTCATCGGGTGGCACTGGTCGTAAGGAACACATCTGCCAGTGCAGGAAACATGAGACTCAGGGTGGGGTCATGCCTGGGTATGGAAGATCCCTGGAGGAGGAAATGGTGACCCATTCAAGTCTTCTTGCCCAGAGAATCCCATGGACAGGAGCCTGGTGGGCTATAGCCATAGGGTCGCAGAGTTGGACACTACTGAAGCGATTTAGCACACACACACCACTCATTGGAGAATACTTCCTATTCTGACTCTGAGGTCCCTACAGTCCTCAGCTTCTTGCTGTTTAGTCACTAAGTCGTATGCAACTCTTTGTGACCCCATGGACTGCAGCACGCCAGGCTTCCCTGTCCTTCACTATCTCTTCACTATCTCATGAGTTTGCTTAAACTCATGTCCATTCACCCATCTCATCCTCTGTCGTCCCCTTCTCCTCCTGCCCTCAGTCTTTCCCAGCATCAGGGTCTTTTCCAAATGAGTCAGTTCTTTGCATCAGGTGGCCAAAATTTCGGAGCTTCAGCATCAGTCCTTCCAGTGATTATTCAGGGTTGATTTCCTTTAGGATTGACTGCTTTGATCTTAGGACCATACAGAAGGACTAACCCCCTCGAGATTAATTAGGCCATTGTTCTTGAAACCGCTTTCCCCAGTGGTCCAGTGACTAGTACTCTTCACTTCCAATGCACAGGGCAGGGGTTTGATCCCTGGTGGGGAACTAAGATTCCACATGCTGCTCAGTGCTCCCCCCCAAAAAATTATTCTTGGCAAAGGGCAATAGCACTAGGGCGACAGAACAAGCGAATCCACAGTCAAAGGTGTTTCAGTGTTGAGGTGTTTGTCTCAGAGATAAACCATAGCCTCCAGTTTCTATAGTATGTCTTTCCATGTTAGAGAAAGCAGGTGTTCCAGGACACAGAAAGAGTGAGATGACCTCCCGAGTCACACTCAGGAACTCTGTTCCTGTAGCTTCCCCTCCACTCCCGTCATTCTGCATTTATCTTCACTCATTCTGTCCTGTCAAGTGTTCAAGACAGAGCCGGGCCCCATGTGCACTAGAAAGCCCACCGTTTTGCCCCCATGGTCAGGCAGCCAAGGCTCCTCCAAGGAGTTTCCTGGGCACCTTCAGTCCTCTTTAAGTGTGTGCAACCGGCAAGGGTGAACCAGGTTGCGGTGGTCCCCTGGGCTTGCTTCAAGACATTTGGGTCATCCCCGTTCCAGCGGCCCTGCTGCAGGCCTTGTGCATGATGACTGGCTTTGAGTTCTGCTTCCCACTGTGGTCTTTGGAAGCCAGGGCGACTCTGATATCACATATTCCCTTTGGGGGACCAATCCCTGAAGCCAGGTTACTGGCTGTTGGTTCTGCTCGTCTGTCTTCTTGGCCTCTGCCTCCATATCCCAGTTGTTGAACACCCTGAAGGCTGATTCCCCCCCCCGGGAAGTGGGCATGGGGGGCCCTGTCTCCAGCTTCTGTAATGTTCTAATGTCTGGGATGCTCTGGAAAGTCAAATGGGACTTTGCACATTATTGACCAAGGGATTTTTGAGGAACTAATGTCTGTGGCCAGTGATTTGTTATGTAAGTGAATATTGAAATGTCTCCAGTCAATACTGTTCGGGTAACCAAAGGTGCATTCATTCACCTGTGGTGAATAAGTTGTTAAGAATGGCCTGCCCATCCACTGACCCCAGGTTCACGTTCGTGTACACGCAAAGGCGTTCCCTGAGGCATTCCAGGAACCCTACAAATCCCCGAGAGTGAGGTGCTGCTGGCCGTCTTCCTCTCGATGGTCCCACCTGGGGTCCGTGTTGGAAACATCCTGAATTCCAGGCTGGAATGGGCTTCCCTGGTTTCTCAGACAGTAAAGAATCCGCCTTCAGTGCAGGAGACCTGGGTTCAATCCCTGGGTTGGGAAGATTTCCCTGGAGAAGGAAATGGCAACCCACTCCAGTATACTTGCCTGGGAAATCCAATGGACAGAGGAGCCTGGCAGGCTATATGATCCACGGGGTTGCAAAGAGTCGAACACAAGTAAGCAACTAACATACCACAGAGCGTGTCCGGCATGACTTTGATAAAGAATCCGCCTTCAGTGCAGGAGACCTGGGTTCAATCCCTGGGTTGGGAAGATTTCCCTGGAGAAGGAAATGGCAACCCACTCCAGTATACTTGCCTGGGAAATCCAATGGACAGAGGAGCCTGGCAGGCTATATGGTCCATGGGGTCGCAAAGAGTCGAACACAAGTAAGCAACTAACATACCACAGAGCGTGTCCGGCATGACTTTGATGGGTCTTACCAGCTTCCTCCTTTGTATTAGTTATAATCAGTGCCTTTTCTTCCCCAGGAGAATAAAATGTCACCAAGTGGGGAAACAGGTTTGGAATATTCCCTGGACTAAATTAGGAAGGACTCTCTTAGGGTCCCCTTCAAACCCTTGGATCTGTCCTTTCAGTCCTGTAGATCTGGGAGAAGAGGGCTACATAGACAGAGGTCACACTGCTCTCCACTGGGGACCTCCCAAGTGGGGAGTTGCCTACTGAGCCCAGAGGGTGGGTGTGCCGTGGACTGATCCCCCTAGGAGGTGCGGAGAGATAGGGGTTGGAGAGAATAGAAGGCATGGGAACCAGGAGAGGTGGGATAGATGACTGAGGAGTCCTGGGTGAGCCGGCGGAAGGGGAACACGGCCCTTGGTGGGGGCGGAGGCCATGAGGACCCTCAGGCTGGGGCCCCAATACCAGGAGTGAGGTTAGAAGTAACCCCACATTTCATGCATAACAGAAACTGGAACGAGGTCTTGGCCTCTGTTCTTCAGATGCTGGCAGGAGAGATGCAGTTGGGAAATGGTGTTAGGATTTAGAGAGCATGGTTGGGCATCTCTTCCCCCTCCGCCGGTTTATACTGGGGTCAGGTGACAATTTAAAAGATCATGAGTTCTGTGTTAGCGGTGGTGATGTCCAGCTATGGAGGATGCCCCCCAGTGGCTGTTCTGCTTGTCTAGCAGCTTGGTCACACACACATGCACACACAATCCCCCTCCCCAGCCTCCCGGGAGCCCTTGCTTCTAGTCTGTCTCCAGCTCCCTGGGGCCTTGCTGGCTAGCTGGTGATGCTGCTCCCACCACATCCGGCACTCACCACGTGGTCTAGGTGCTCTGACTGAAACCTGACCCAGTCCTCGTGGGGCTAGGAGCAGAGATGCTGTGGGAGAGGGCTGAGGTGATAAGGTCCCCTCTGATGTCAGCAACTGGAAGTTTCCAGTTCCACTGGACACGGCCCCGATCTGCAGAGAGCAGCAGCCTTGCTGCTGGTGGGGACATTCTTCACCTGGGGAGCGCTCTGCTTAACCCTCGTCTGCTCTTAGGTCTCAGGATGAGTTCAGTAGCTCTCACTGGCCAGAGCGGCTCAGAGCTGCCCGGTGGTTTAGCTGGTCTTGTCCACCCCGTGTCAGTGAGTAAGCCCTTAGTTACAGGAGGGAGTGGGCCCCACGTTGTGTGCCAGTCTGGTAAACTAAATAGTGTGGACCCTGGTCTCCTGACCACGGCTCTCTGCTTCAGGGGAGGTTCTTTCTCTTCAGGTTCTGGTAGGTGAATAAGGAGACCGAAGCTGAGATGGACACAGCAGGAGCTTTATTCAGTGACCAGAGAATGGGGGATCAGGAGCTTAGTTCACCGTAAACTTCTCCCCCACCTGGCCAAAGGGGTTTAATTTTAAAGGGGGCGGGGAGAGAGGCTGACGATGGGGAGGCGTGTACACTAGTCTCCCTGAAGGGCAGGGCTTTTTTGAGGGGGGCCACCCTGGTTGCCCTGTTTCGATCCCTAACATCTGGTCCTGGGTTCCGGTGGGTGCGGCGTCTAACGTGCTGATGTAAAGCGGGCGTCCATTGCAACTCAGTCTGGCAGAGGTGCCGTGTGTCGCCATTTGTGTGGGTGTAGCTTCGTTTCTTATCTCGGGACCCTTTAACTTACAGATGTGTTCTCTCCTGCTGAAGGTGGGGGAGTCAGGGTTGGGAGCAGGGACCTTCCTCAGGGTTGGGGCTGGAGGGTTGACAGCAAAGACCCAGAGCAGCTCTGGCCATACCCAGGTCAGGCAGCTGCACGCCTGAGCGTAGAATCGGGGTTTGGACCTGTGGTTGTGGCCAGGCTCCTTCTGTACTGTGACCTCCTGGAGACGGATCGCTGAGTGAGGGTGGGTGTGGGGGGGAACCCTGTGTGTCTTCCCTGCTGGGGCCCCTGTGGGGACTGGCGTCAGCACCCCTCCCCTTCTTTCCCAAGCGACCCTGGGCTCCCAGGTGACAGGGAGTGTTGTTCATATAAAGGGGAGCCTGCAGACAGGCTGCCCAGAGGCTGGGGGTGGGCCTCTCCCTGAAGTCCCCCCATCCCTCCCCCTCTAGGCCCCGTGTGAGGGGCGGGCAGTTGGTCATTGCTGTGACACGGAGGTGCCAAGCCAGCAGGCTACAGACGAGGGGCTGTGTTTATTGGAACAAAATAGGCAATTCAGCTGCACCCCCATTACCCACAGCCCCCCACCCACCACCTCCACATCTCTGGTCCAGGTCTGGGCAGCCACGTGGTGGTCACTCCTGGATGTTCTGCCCAATCCAGCCTCTGACAGCAGCCACCCGGGTGTACACGCCCGGGAACTGGGGCCGCCCACAGCCGTAACCCCAGCTGGTGACCCCAGTTAGCACCCAGCGGCCGGAGGGCTCCCTGCAGGCCAGGGGTCCCCCGGCGTCACCCTGAGGAGGGGAGAGAGGAAGGGTACTCAGTGGGCAGTACTTCCCCCCAGCAGCCAAGGGTGGGTTGGCCTGACCTCTGTGACCCCAGGTAAGTCATAGTCCTCGCCTCTGGGAGAGCCTCACTGCCATCTGAGAAATGGGTTCAGTGCTCAGGTGAGCTTTCATCCGGCTGGCAGACGTCGGTGGACAGCTGCCTGGTGGGCCTGGAGAAGACACGGCCTCTACCCCGCTGCTCCTAACCCTCTACCTGGCTGAGGGAGGATGCAATGGGGTGGAACCTGGCTCTCTAGAGGTGTCCACCAAGGCGGGGTTCAGTGGAAACTCCACAGAGCCAAAGGTGGTCTGTTTGAGGAAGTGCACTGGAGGTGGGGCCTGGCTGAGGGGTTCGGGTTGTAAGGGTGTGGCCCGGGGGCCGGTTCAGTTGGAGTGCGCTCACCGAGCAGCTGTCCACGCCTCCCTGCGGGAAGCCGGCGCACAGCATGCGGCTGCTGATCTGCACCGGGTAGAAGCGGCGGCAGGTCTGCTCGCTGAGCAGCCGCACGGCCGCCTTCTGCAGCTGCCTGGCCATCGAGCCTGCAGGTGAGCGGTAAGGTGGGACTCGGTAAGGCTATGCACTCACCCACTACTACAGGGATCCCCAGTGGGGCCCCAGGAGGGGTAGCTGTGCCTACCTCCCTCGCGCACGGAGCCCCAGCCTGTGATGATGCAGTGTGCACCGTCGGGGAGCCGTGGGGCCGGCTCGGGCAGGCAGATGGGCCGCACCAGGCGGCTGCGGCGTACTGGCCCCACCAGCTCAAGCAGTGCCACGTCGTAGTCGAGTGTGTAGAGGTTGTAGAAGGGGTGCTTGTGGATGCGCGCCACGCGCTCCAGCTGCCCGTCAGCGCCACTCAGGAACGGCGTGCCCAGGAAGGCTGCCCACTGCTTGGGGTCCCCGTAGCTGTGAGATGTGAAGGATAGGCGTCCGCCCGGGTCCCCTGCACCCGTGGCCGGCACCTGACCTCTCTCGGTTGAATGTCTCTTTTTTTCTGGAATGGGGGGGAGGATGAAAGGGGCCAGCAGGCACTGAGGTGCCACTACACGCTGTGTCCGTTCCCACCTAATGTTGGGGTTCTGGTGGCTAGAGGATCCCCGTCCTACCTCCCAACCACTCCGACCTTGGCACTGTGAGGCGCATCCCGAGATGGGTGTTACCATGGAGGGTAGGAACCCTGGCCGGGCCCTCCTCCTGGGCACCCTGCCAGGAAGGGGAACCTCCTCTCACCATGGAGGGCCTTTAGGGTGGTGCCGGTCCAAGCCATTTGGGCTGGGGATGGAAGTGTCTCACTGACCCCAGAGACCTGGCCAGAGGCCCCCATCCCTACCCCAGCATTTGGTGGGGGCTGGACTCAGCCCTTGTGGCCAGGTTTGGGGTGGTGGGTGGGCAGGGGAGGTTTGCGTGAAGGAGGGGCCTGGGGCTGCGGGTGTTGAGAAAGGGCGTTCCGGGCGGAGGTGCCACGCTTCGAATTTTCGGGGGCTGCTATTGGTGAACCATCGGTGTGGGCTGGGGCCTTCGGGACTCACACGTCGAAGCAGTGCGCCGCTGACAGCAGCCACCTCTCGGCCACCAGCACAGCCCCGCAGCGGTGCTCCCGCCGCCGCAGCCACAGGCTCACCTGCCACGGCCACTCCCCGCGGCCCGCAGCGCTGCCGCCCACGATCCGGGTCAGCGCTGCAGCCGGTGCCAGGCCGCAGTCTGCGGGAGAGGCAGGTGCTGGCTGGTCGGAGGGCCCGCGCCGCCTCCGTGCCAACTGTCCCGCCCCACCATGGAGCCCTGCGTGGCTGTACTAGGGAGGAGGAGTGGGATGGGAGGCCCACCTCAGGAAAACTCCCCACTCACGGGACACAGGGCCTGGCGCTTGGTCCTGCCAGCGCCTCTTCTGGTCTCAGATGTTTGAAATGCATTTGTTTCCTGTACCCTTAGCCTTGGTGCCTGGGCTCCGTGCCAGGATCCCCTCCCATCCCGACTTCTCCCAGGCAGCCTTCGGTCCCCAGGAGTCCAGTCCCCTGCTGCTCCCGAGCCCTTGCACACCCAGCGGCCTCCGAGGAGGCTCTGCCTGTCTTCTTGGATGCCAGCAATGGGCTCTTTACCCAAGTCCCAGTGACCCGATGTCCTTCCCAGGGTGTCCCCCATCCTGTGGACCCCAGCACAAGGTGCACCCTCAGAACAAGAGAGTAGGATGCTCAGATTACATACCTGATCCTGTCCCCACCACCCAGCTGTTTCCCTCCGCCCCGCCACCCCCCCCCCCCCCACCAGCAGATAGACACTGCAGGGAGCAGGAGGGCTATGCCCTCACCTGGAGATGGCGACAGATGGGGGCCACCTGCCTCCTTCCCCACCAGCACCACCACCTTGGCCCATCTGACCCCATCTGGAGCTTGCCCAGGACCAGGGGCCTGGAGAATTCGGCCGAAGCTGCACCCCTCTCCTGGAAACACTGCCCCCACATGGAACAAAATGTGCCATTCCAGGGCTCCTTCCACCTCTCGGCCCCACGGTAAGAACTGTAGCTATTGGAAAATTTCGTAAGCGTCACCAGGCTGGAGACCAGACCCAGCCGCAGAGTTAACAGGATGCAGTGTTTTTCCGAGGGCACACTGCAGCTCTGAAGCAGCAACACCCTCCTCTGAGCAGCGGGCGGGGATGGCAGCCAGCAGAGGTCCCCTTGGAGCCAGAGTCACCTCAGACGCTGACCTGATTCTCAGGGGCTCTGGGCTCGGCGTCCCACCTGTGCCTTAACCTTGTGGTCCCTGAGTGGGGGCCGGGAGGCACGGGGTGCAGATACCCCCACCACACTCACACACACACACGTGTGGTCTGCTTGGCTCTGGGCTCGCTCCGGCATGCCCAGCACCCGCTCTGTCCCCACACCCCAGAGCGCTGACCTCTCTGGTGAGTCTCCCCATGGTTCTTTGGGGTTGTGGTCTGCCTTGTTGTGAGTCCATAAACCTGACTTTGTGGGTGCAGGTCTATGTCTGGGGACTCAGGCTGCCTGGGCTCTGTGAATGTGGGGGTTGGCGGGGGTGGGGACAGGCCCCATTCTCCCCCAAAGCCTGGGACACTGCCATAGAAAACTGCCTATGGTTGATGGTGCTTTTATTTTTGACCCACAAACACAGCAGTTACCTATGTTTCTGATTAATATTAAATAAGAATGAACTCAATGGCCCAGACACAAGCTGAAGGCCATGTTCTCTGTCATGACATCTTCGGCCATTTACTGCCAAGCTGTCCCCACTTAGACCCTAACGGGACCTGTGGGACTGGCCATTAATATGTGCATCTGCATGGTCGGGGTCCACGATGGGGTGACTTCTCTCCCCTCTGAAATTCCTAAGTGGAAGCCCTGACCCCTAGGATGGGACTGTGTTCAGAGATGATTACAGTAAAATGAGGTTATTAATAATAGGGTGGGCCCTAATCTGGTACGACTGGGGTCCTTATATGGGGATTAGGACACAGACACCCACAGAGAGGAGAAGGCAGCCACCTGCTCACACTGCCATCTCCAACTCCAGCTTCCAGCACCGGGAGATGACAAATATCTCAGGCCCCCAACTAGGCCGCGGTGACGCAGCCCCACAACAGACACAATAACCCGCCACCCACACACGCCACTCCATCTCCCCGGGTACCTGGCAGCTGGGCGCCCACCGTGGTCTTGGGAGTGGGGGCCAGTGGTGTCTGCCCCCTAGGGGTGGAGGTCACAGCGGCGGTGGTCCTGTCAGCAGGTTGACTGGTCACCCTGCTGGTGGCCCGGGGAGTGGGTGTGCTGGTCGTGACTCCCGGGACCGTGAGGCCTGTTGTTGTCCTGGTGGTGTGACTGCTGGTGGGCGTCCTCGTGGCGGGCAGCGGGGCCATGGGGAGAGAGTGGGAGGACATGGTGGCCAGGATCCAGCCCTTGAGCTGAGTGATGCGGGTATACACGCCTGGTTTCTTGACCTGCGCACAGCCAATGCCCCAGCTCACAATCCCAGCCAGATAAAACACACCGGGTGTCTCCTCACAGGCCAGGGGTCCCCCAGAGTCACCCTGGAAAGGAAAGACAAAGGGCTGACTGAGCACCCAGCATCCTCACTGTGGAGGTGCTGCCAGACCCTCCCACATGCCCACAAGTAGAAGTGGCTCCTCAGTGGAGCCAGCCTCACACCCACGCAGGGCTGTGGGACCTTGTGTGACCTGGAGCAGTTCACCCCTCTGAGCTGAGATGGCTCTTATTTTGCCTTGGCAACAAAACATCAGAAAACCCTGAAGAAAAAACAGCCCTCCTAAGGAATAATATAAAGTGGGAAAGAGAGGCAAGTGGTTCTGGGAAAGCTGGACAACCACATGTAAATCAGTGAAGTTAGAACACAACCTCACTTCCTACATGAAAATAAACTAAAGATGGCCTAAAGACTCAAGTGTAAGGCATGACACCATAAAACTCCTAGAAGCGTGTTAACGTAGGCAAAATATAAATCTTAACAATGTTTTCTCAGGTCAATCTGCCAAGGCAAGAAAAATGCAAAACTAAACAAATGGGATCTAATCACACTTAACAAGCTTTTGCACAGCAAAGCATAAAATGAAAAACCTACAGAATGGGAAAGAATATTTGCATGCGATGCAACTGACAAGGGCTTAATCTCCAAAATGCACAAACTCAAGTGCTACAAGATAAACCCATCAAAAAATGGGCAGAACACCTAAATAGACATTTGCCCAAAGAGACAAATGGCCAATAAGAACATGAAAAGATGTTCAACATCACCAATTACTAGAAAAATGGAAATCAAAACTACATGGAAAAAATAAAGCAATTGAGGTATCACCTCACACCAGTCAGGATGGCCATATTTTTTAAAAATCTACAGATGATAACATGCTGGAAAGGATGTGGAGAAAAGGAAACCCTCTTACATTGTTGCTGAGAGAGTAGATTAGTGCAGCCACTGTGAACAGTAGGGAGGGTTCTTAAAAAATGAGAGTCGCCATATGGTGTAGCAGTCCCATTCCTGGACAATACATACAGGAAAGATGAAAAGTCTAACTGGAAAAGGATACATGGCACACCAAAGTTCACAGCAGCAGTGTTCACAATAGCCAAGACATGTGAGCAACCTAAATGTCGACTGACAGGACTAGATAAAGAAGATGTGGTACGTGTATATAATCGACTATTACTCGGCCATAAAAAAGAAGGAAATGTCATTTGCAGCAACATGCTTGGACGCAGAGATGATCATACCAAGTGAGATAAGTCAGACGAATATCATGTATCACTTATATGTGGAATCTAGAATATGACACAAGTAAACTTAGAAAAACAAACTCAGAGAGAATGCACTTGTGGTTGCCACAGGGGAAAGGGTCAGGGAGGGATAAACTAGGAGTTTGGCATTAATAGATGCCAAACTTGAGCGACTGAACTGACTATATATAAAATAGATTAAGGGTTTACTGTATAGTGTGGGGAACTATATTCAGTATCTTGAAATTATAATGGAAAAGAATATGAAAAGAATGTATGCATATATAACTGAGTCGCTCTGCTGTATATCAGAAACTAACGCATTGTAAATCAACTACACGCCAATAAAACGAAGATTTTAAAGCATCATGTTTGCTGTAGGTTTCTGTTACATTTCAGATGCTTTTCTTCTGATTTTGAAGGTGATCCTATTTCTCCTCGTCAAAATACAAATGCGTTGAATGACATTAACGGAGTCGAGCTTTTGGAGATCAACTCATCTTTGTTGTGATGTTTTTCCTTTAATACCCTAGTGGATTGGATTTGCTTTTCATTAGGCTTTTTTGTGTCTATGCTTCTAAGTAACACTGGCCTGTGAATTTTTTTTCTCTTTCTTTATATTTTTTTATATTTATTTTGCCACACTGCGTGGTTTCTGGAATCTCAGTTCCCTAACCAGGGATTGAGCCTAAGGCCAGGGCGTTCCCTGGACTTCTTTTCCCTGTAAGTGTCTCTGGCCCTGATTGTGTGGTCTAGCTAGCTTTTTATGTTCTGGATCCAGTTGGTTTCCCCTTAAAAACGGGTCACCCACATGTCAGGTGTGACAGGGTGGTCATTTACATGCCCATGTTTTCTCAGTTAACATGTGCTAGGCAGCCCTTAAAATCAGGACTTGTCGCGGTCCCTCTCAGCCGGGTCCCTCCAGAACTCACCTGGCAGGAGTCCACCTTGCCCTCCAGGAAGCCGGCGCAGATCATCCTGTCCGTGAGCGAGAAGTTGTAGAGGGCGCTACATGCCTTGTGGTCGATGATGCCCACGGACGCCCGCTGCAGGAGGTCAGGCTTGGTGGCTGCCAAGACAAGGGGCACCCACCAGGGCCACTCACAGAGGGCTCGCTGTTAGGCGAGGGCTTCGCTCTGACCACAGCCGCCCCCACCCAGAGGGAGGCACAGAGGCTCGTGTCCTTGCAGGGACGTGTGTAAAGTCACATAGCGAGACAGAGGTAGACCCCAGAGCCCACGAACCTCACCACGGCCCACAAGCCGGTTCCCTAGCACCTTGGGTGCCCTGCAGGGGGGCTACTCAGATTTCAAAGGAGGCATTAACTCTTGGTGGGGGCCTATGCACGGTATAACAAGGGTCCCCCAGCTTTTTTCCATAAAGAGCCACACAGTAGGTACATTCCACTTTAATGGGCCAGTCTCCATGGAGACCACTCAGCTCTGCTTTTGCTGCCCCAGGGGGCCATCTCTGAGTGAGTGGGTGTGGCTGTGTGCCAATAAAACTTAATAAAATAAAAAGCAGCTGCCTTAGGCCGGAGTTTGAAACCCTGAGGTAGTGGAAAGGTGAGTGGTCTGCAAGCAGGGGGATCAGAGCCCCAGGCCAGGGGGCATGGGGAGCTCACCGTTGCCCTCCTGCGTGTTGCCCCACCCGGAGATCACACACTTGCGGCCCACAGGGAACTTCTGGATGGCCAGCGGCAGGCAGACGGGCTGCACATACTTGTTGAAGATCAAAGGCTTGGCCAGCTCCAGCACAGCCACGTCGAAGTCCAGGATGCTGGGGTTGTACTGGGGGTGCAGCACCACCCGCCTGAGCCCCACCTTCACGGGGCTCCCGCCAACGCCCGACAGGGATGCGGTGCCCAGCTGGGCCCGCACCAGCTCCAGCTTCGTGCTGCCAGGAAGGGGCCGCTCAGACTCCCCGCCCCCACCTCTGCAGCCCCCAGGGCACCGGGCAGAGCTGGGGGACCCAGGCCCCGGGGAGGGTGAGGCAGGCAGCCCCTTGACCCCGGGCCTCCTTTCCTTCTGGGACAAGAAGGCGTGAGAGGCCCCCACAGCTTTGTGACCATCGGAGGTCAGTGCTGCTGCCTTTGAGCGAAGGGGAGGGGCATGTCCCCCCAATGCTTGGCCCCTGTGTCCCCTACAGACCAGACCATCCCGGAAGCTGCTCCCCAGAGCCCCCTACTTTTTCTCGCTGCCCCCCAACCACCTCACCCCATCTGCATCTAGATGTGAGCCTGGTGGGGATGGAAGGCGCCCCCCCCGACCAGCCCTCAGTCCTGAGTGGTCTCTGAGTGCATGGGGATGTGATGGTGGGGGACCTGCTGGGTGATATCGGGGGAGTCAAGGGGGCCTTACTGGTTGAAGCAGTGGGCAGCAGACAGCAGCCAGCGGTCCCCCACCACGGTGGCTCCGCAGAAGTGCCGCGAGCCCTCCTTCAGGCTGACCTGCCAGGGCACCTCCCCCAAGGCGGCCCCTAGCCCCCCCACGATCCGGGTGGGCTTCTCCAACGCCGGCCTGGCCCCACACTCTGCAGGGACAAGACAGGAGGGTCCGGGCACCTCAGCCTGCTGGTGTTGGGACCACCCTGGTTCTAGAGGGGCCCCAGGGCTCTGCCTGGCAAGCAGTGCATCACACAGATGAGGAAACCAAGACTTAAGTAGCCCTAAGTGCTCATCCTGCAGGGTATGTGGGTGAGAAAGGAGAAGGCAAGGTCGTAAGGGCCCTGGCCCCACCACCCTCGGTGCAGCAGACACAGACCTGCAGACCCTACAGCACAACTCAGGGGGCTCAATGGACAGAGTTGGTTATTAAGGGGCTGGGGGCAGGGCAGGTGCAGGCAGCATTTAAATGAAGCAGAATTTGGATTGGTTCCCAGACTTGCAGGTCTATGGGACCATAAAGAGGGGTCAGCATCAGATAGGGCAATGGGATCCTGGACGTGAGGGTCCTCAGAAACCACATGGTCAAGACAGGCGGAGAGTGCATATGCTGCCTATGGGTGCCATGTCTGTAATAGCCTCAACTCAGCTTCTCTCTAACCCTGCCCCCCCACCCCACATTGGTCACTGGCTCCCTGCTGAACCTAAAGGATATTCTGCATATACCCTCCTGGATGGCCTGAGTTTTGCTGATGCTTAGTCGCATCTGATTCTGCAACCCCATGGACTGTAGCCCACCAGGCTCCTCTGTCCATAGGATTCTCCAGGTAAGAATACTGGAGTGGGTTGCCATTTCCTTCTCCAGGGGAACTTCCTTACCCAGGGATTGAACCCAGGTCTCCTGTATTGCAGGTGGACTCTTTACCGCTGAGCTACCAGGGAATCAGGCAGTAAATGTGAAGGCTGACCACATGCCTTTGTCCATGCACTTGACAGACATCACTAATCAATCACCCATCTCTTCCCCAGAGTGCTTCAGAAAGCCAGTACCAAATCCATCCGACCCTGGGCAGAGCAGACACACACTGCTGCTGTCTCCCCAGAAGGTACCTTGTGGCTTAGAAGTGGTGGCCAAGTTGAGAGGCACAGTGCTGGTGGCCAGTGTGGGTCTGGTGCGGGCGTCAGTCACCAGGCTCTTGGGGCTGGTGGGCCAGGCAGGGCTGAGAGTGGTGGAGACGAGAGCCACCGTGGGGACGGGAGGCTTGCTTGCAGCGGCAATGGTCTCCAGGATCCAGTCCCGCAGGCTGGTCACCCGGGCATAGACCCCTGGACGCCGGGCTTCCGCACAGCCGATTCCCCAGCTCACGATGCCGGCCAGGAAGAACCTACCAGAGGGCTCCTCGCAGACCAGGGGGCCCCCCGAGTCACCCTGGGAGACAGAGGCACACCCTCAGGAGGGGTTGGGGCTCCCCGGCCACATCTGGCCCCAGATCCAGAGTGACAGGTCATAGGGGGAGCCCTGGTTGCAGGATGCGTTTCCCCACGAGCCCACGGGGCACACATGGCTGATAACTCTCATCTCAGAACCTGTCTCCTCCTCTAAAAATACAATAGGACACTCGGACTCCAGATCTCTAAGACCTCTTTTAGTCCTACCACTGGCAATTAAAAACCCATCCCAGATAAACAATATCCCCTCCTCTCCTTAGCCCCATAGATCTTGGATAATGTCACCAGTGGCTTAGGAACCTCCAATCATCTCATGGGCAGCCACGGCATCCTTCTGAAGTGCCCGGCCTGCCCTCATTCATCCTGTCTTGCTTTCCTTTGCCTCCTCCCCACATCCAGCTCACCGTGCACTCTTAATGTCCTTAAACACAAGCTCTCTCCTGCTATTTCCCAATGTTTTCTCCAGTTTCCGGCTCTCACGTGGTAATCAGAGCACATTAGCAGCCTCTCCCCACCCACCAGGCCTTAGAAAGGACAGCAAAGATACAAACTAAAAAGGAAACCCATAGCCATGTGACCAACCCAGCAGAGGGTCTTGGTGGTGGACCAGAGACAGAAGACCCTGCCACTTCTGGGAGAGGGGTGCCTCGGGTGGGAGGATGTGGGGGGGGGGCTGTTCCCAGGACCTCAGGGACTGGTGGGGCATCCCCTAGGGCCCCCGGCCCCTTTCCCAGGTGCTGGGCTCACCTGGCAGGAATCCACCTTCCCATCCAGGTAGCCAGCACACACCATCCTGTCAGTGAGTGAGTGGCCGTAGAGGCTAGTGCACAGGGCCTGGTCCAACAGCTCCACAGTAGCCTTCTGCAGCATTTCTGGCTTGATCACTGATCGGGACAGGGAGAGATGAGGAGGGAGCACCCCATACCCCCGAGCCAGGAGCCTGAGCTTCAGTTTCTCCCACCCCATGCAGTGGACCTGCTGCAGCCCCAGCTCAGAAAGGAGCCAGGCCCACCAGTGCCCACTGACTACCCTCCCAACCTGGACATCTCAGGACTAGGCTCCTTCCTCCCCTCCCCAAACCTTCCCACCCTGAGCCCCCACTTCCCTGATGGAAACTTTTCTTAGCCTGGCAGTAGCCCCATCTTGACTAAACATTAAGTCAGATTAAGTAGCCTTCCCTCAAACCCTCCAGGGCATTTCCCTACCCCCAACTGAACCTGAATGCCCAAGTCTGGACCACCTATCCTGGCTACCCCAGGCCCTTTGCACATGCCATTCCAGCCGCCTACAAGGTTTGTCCCTGTGAAATCTGTCTGCCTTCTTCCTTTCATCTCCTATTTTAAATTGCAGCCCCCTGCCCCTGCATCCCTGCCTGATTTTTCTCCACTTGGTACGTCACCATCTGTCACTTTTCTTGTTTACTATCTACTGCCCCTGAAATTGTGCTGTCCAACACAATAGCCACTGGCCATGTAAGGCTATTTAAATGCAGACTGAAGCTCATCACGATGAAATGAAACACAGAATTCAGTATCTCAGTCACGCCAGCCCAGGTCACAGGGCTGCTCACTCCTTTAGTGGATGGCACAGACATGGTAGGTGTCTGCCACCGACAGAAGTTCTATCAGGCAGTGCCAGCCTGGACTGTGGACTCTGTGTGGGCAGGGGTCTCTCTCTGAATGGCCTGCTGCCCAGCCCCTGGAATAGGGATGCCTGGTCTTATATTAGGCACCACCATCTCAGGCCCTTTCCTAAAGATGTCCCCGACCCCAACTCCTTTTTCTTGTTTCCTTCCTAGCACCTCTCACCATCAATCACAGTTGATCTGACATAGTTACCCCTACACTGATAGTTAACCTGCCCTCCCCTCCCAGGGCCAGGCTCCCCTGAGACCCTGGTCACAGCCAATCCAAGGTAACCTCACAACAGTTCCTGTGTTTCTGTTTATAGAGACACCTCACTTAGACTGTGTTGTTGATTGACTAACAGGAAGCTCACAGCCCATAGCTCTATAACCCTCACCTGAACAAAGCTCATCGAATACAGGGATTTCTTCCCTATGAGACACGTCCCAGCCCTCCTGCGCTTAGGACCCTAGTCAGCACATCAGCTCTATGCTTGAGGCCTATTTAGATTTTGTCAAACTTGCCACAGAAAGCACGAAAAAAAAAAAAAAAAACAAAACCGTGGTGGTGAGTAGACCAGAAAAAGGACACCAGTTTCCAGTCTGAGCACAGCCAAGAAGGCAGGGCGTCACCAAGCTCCACCACCTCACGGGGAACAGATTCCGCACATTGTGCATGACCACAGTCCCCTACGAGTGTCCACCTGGGGGGACAAATGCATTTTTGCAAGTGGGCGAATTTGCAAATACAGAACCCGTGGCTAACCAGACCAGACCGTGTGATGTTTGCTTGGTCGTGCTGTGCTGGCAGCCTAGCTGCGGGAGTGGGTGCTTACGGAAGTCCTCCTTGAGGTAGCCCCAGCCTGAGATGAGGCACTTCTTCCTTGGTGGGAAGACGTGCGAGGCGGCCGGCAGGCACACGGGCTGCACGTGCCGGCTGAAGGGCAGGGGTCCGCCCAGCTCCAGCACCGCCACGTCGAAGTCAGCTGTGTCCGAGTTGTAGGATGGGTGTGTGATGATCCGGGCCACGCGGGCCCGCACCGTGCTGGCCTCTGAGCCGCTGAGGTAGGTGGTGCCCACGTAAGCCACCCACTCCGGGGAGTCCTGGAATCTGCAGGGCAGACAGACCCCAGCTCAGAGGCCCACCAAGGCTGGAGCCGGGGCGGGGGTGGGAAGGGTGGGGAGGGGGAGCGGGGCACTTACCAGGAGGCAGGTGCCCCCAGACTCAGCCATGGAAACTGACGGGAGTGTTTTCCATGCAACATTGGCAAAAATCAGAACGAATGCACAAAAATTAAAACACAGTGCATGAATTATCAGCATTTTAAACAAAGACAGGGGAGGAGCCAAGATGGCGGAGGAATAGGACGGGGAGACCACTTTCTCTCCTACAAATTCATCGAAAGAACATTTGAATGCTGAGCAAATTTCACAAAACAACTTCTGATCGCTAGCAGAGGACATCAGGTGCCCAGAAAAGCAGCCCATTGTCTTCGAAGGGAGGTAGGACAAAATATAAAAGATAAAAAGGGAGTCAAAAGAGCTACGGACGGAGACCCGTCCCGGGAAGGGAGTCTTAATAGAGGAAGTTTCCAATCACCAGGAAACCCTCGCACTGGCGGGACTGGGGGAAGTTTTCGGCAATCTAACTGGGAGGAAAAATTAAACAAGGCCCACAGATTACGTGCCTAAAAGCAACTCCCAGCAGAAAAGTACCCCAGACGCCCGTACCCGCCAGCAACAAGCGGGGGCGGGACGGAGAGGAGCGGGCGGCATTGCTTAGGGTAAGGACCGTCCCGAAGACCCTGAGAGCAATCGGAGGGAGCTTTTTTAAACTGTGGGATAGCAAGGGTCAAAATTAACAGGCCCGAACACACTGCCGGTGGTTCGCAAAACAAAGGGACTGAGAAACTCCAGAGAAGAGCCGGCCCATCCCCGCTGGAGGTTGGAGGCAGGGGGGAGGGGAAAAGGGCAAACAGCCCCTGAGAAGCCACCCCCTCCCACACCGCAAACAGGCCCCGGTTCCTATCTAAAGACTTCCTGAGACCCGACTGGCGGCGCGCGCTGGGGCCGCGGAGGGAAAAAGCGCGCCGTACCCGGGGAGAGTGCGCCCAAGCCTCTGGCTGCCTGGGCCGCTCGACGCGGAGGGAAAAGGCGCGCCGCATCCGGGGAGAGTGCGCCCAAGCCTCTGGCTGCCTGAGCTGCCCTCCGCGGAGGGAAAAGGCGTGCCACATCCGGAGAGAGTGCACCCAAGCCTCTGGCTGCCTGGGCCGCTCGCTGCGGAGGGAAAAGGCGCGCCACATCCGGGGAGAGTGCGCCCAAGCTTCTGGCTGCCTGAACCGCTCAGGCCGGGGAAGGCACAAAACGCAGGTGCAACCGAATCTGCGCTTTTGTGGAGTACCGGAAAACTGGAACCGCACTCAATGCAGGGCCCGCTCCATATAGAGCAGCCGGGAGCCTGAGCAGTGTAGACGGGGAAAGCACTGACACCCGTGAGCGGGGCAAACCCAGTGTGGCCGGAACACGGTGAGTGCTATCCACACGGAGCGGTATCTGTCTGCAGCGCCCCGCCCTCCCCGTAGCAGGACTGAACTGAACTAGCGAACCTAAATAAGAGATCACCTCCACCCGCCTGTGTCAGGGTGGAAATTAGACACTGAAGAGACGGCAAACAGAAGCCAAATAAACAAAGGGAACCGCTTCAGAAAGGACTGGTGCAACAGATTAAAATCCCTGAAGGTAACACCGACTACACCGGAAGGGGCCTACAGATATCGAGAAGTGTAAGCTGGAAAGAGGAGCTATCTGAAATTGAACTGAACCTATGCTGACTGCAACAACTCCAGAGAAATTCCTAGATATATATATATATATTTTTTTTTAATTAAAAAAAATTTTTTTTTCTCTCCTTTTTTAAAATTTTTTTTTATTTTTTCTCTTTTGTTTTCTTTTAAAATTCCCTATTACTCCCCCATTACTCCTCAACTTTCATTTTCATATATTTTTACGATTTTTTTAATTAGGGAAAAAAATTTTTTTTTCTTTTTTTTTCTTTTTCTTGTTTTTCTCTCCTATTTCCTTTTAAAGTCCTCTAATACTCCTCTATTATTCCTTAATTTTCATTTTCATTTCATTATAACCTTGCCAAAAAAAAAAAAACGAGAGAGAGAGAGAGAAACCCTATTTTTAAATCGAACTTCATATACATTTCTAAATTTTTTTGTGTTTTTGTTTTTAAATATTGTATTTCAAAGAGTCTAACCTCTACACTAGATTTTTAATCTTTGTTTTTCAGTAGTATGTGATATAAATTTTGGTCATTTAAGAATCCAATATTCAGTTCCCATTTCTATTCAGGAGTGTGGTGATTACTCTCCCACGTTTGACTGTTTTCTACCTCGGAACACCTCTGTTTCCTCCTTTCCCCTTCTCTTCCCAATCCAACTCTGTGAATCTTTGTGGGTGTCTGGGCTACGGAGAACACTTTGGGAACAGATAACTGCGTAGATCTTGAGTCCCCTTTTTCTCCTCCTGATCACCTCTATCTCCTTCCTCCCTCTCCTATTCTTCATGTAACTCTGTGAACCTCTCTGGTTGTCTCTCATGGTGGAGAATCTTTTCACCATTAACCTAGAAGTTTTATTATCAGTGCTGTATAGTTGGAGAAGTCTTGGGACTATTGGAAGAATAAAACTGAAATCCAGAGGCAGGAGACTTAAGCCCAAATCTTGAGAAAACCAGAAAACTCCTGACTACACGGAACATTAAGGAATAAGAGACCATCCAAAAGCTTCCATACCTACACCAAAACCAACCACCACCCAAGAGCCAATAAGCTCCAGTACAAGACATACCACGCAAATTCTTTAGCAACGCAGAAACATAGACCTGAGTGTCAACATACAGGCTCTCCAAAGTCACACCTAACACATAGATCCATCGCAAAACTCATTACTGGACACTCCATTGCACTCCAGAGAGAAGAAATCCAATTCCACGCACCAGAACGCTGACACAAGCTTCCCTAACCAGGAAACCTTGACAAACCAATCGTCCAACCCCACCCACTGGGTGAAACCTCCACAATAAAAAGGAACCTCAGACCACAAGAATACAGAAAGCCCACTCCAGACACAGCAATCTAAACAAGATGAAAAGGCAGAGAAATACCCAACAGGTAAAGGAACATGAAAAAAGCCCACCAAGTCAAACAAAAGATGAGGAAATAGGGAATCTACCTGAAAAAGAATTTAGAATAATGATAATAAAAATGATCCAAAATCTTGAAAACAAAATGGAGTTACAAATAAATAGCCTGGAGACAAAGATTGAGAAGATGCAAGAAATGTTTAACAAGGACCTAGAAGAAATAAAAAAAAGTCAATTAAAAATTAATAATGAAATAAATGAGATCAAAAACACTCTGGAGGGAACCATGAGTAGAATAACAGAGACAGAAGATAGGATAAGTGAGTTAGAAGATAAAATGGTGGAAATAAATGAAGCAGAGAGGAAAAAAGAAAAAAGAATCAAAAGAAATGAGGACAACCTCAGGGACCTCTGGGACAATGTGAAACGCCCCAACATTCGAATCATAGGAGTCCCAGAAGAAGAAGACAAAAAGAAAGGCCATGAGAAGATACTCGAGGAGATAATAGCTGAAAACTTCCCTAAATTGGGGAAGGAAATAGCCACCCAAGTCCAAGAAACCCAGAGAGTCCCAAACAGGATAAACCCAAGGCGAAACACCCCAAGACACATATTAATCAAATTAACAAAGATCAAACACAAAGAACAAATATTAAAAGCAGCAAGGGAGAAACAACAAATAACACACAAAGGGATTCCCATAAGGATAACAGCTGATCTATCAATAGAAACCCTTCAGGCCAGAAGGGAATGGCAGGACATACTTAGAGTAATGAAAGAGAATAATCTACAACCTAGATTACTCTACCCAGCAAGGATCTCATTCAGATATGAAGGAGAACTCAAAAGCTTTACAGACAAGCAAAAGCTGAGAGAATTCAGCACCACCAAACCAGCTCTTCAACAAATACTAAAGGATCTTCTCTAGACAGGAAACACAGAAAGGTGGTATAAACGTGAACCCCAAACAACAAAATAAATGGCAACGGGACCATACCTATCAATAATTACCTTAAATGTAAATGGGTTGAATGCCCCAACCAAAAGACAAAGGCTGGCTGAATGGATACAAAAGCAAGACCCCTATATATGCTGTCTACAAGAGACCCACCTCAAAGCAAGGGACACATACAGACTAAAAGTGAAGGGCTGGAAAAAAATATTCCACGCAAACGGAGACCAAAAGAAAGCAGGAGTCGCAATACTCATATCAGATAAAATAGACTTTCAAATAAAGACTGTGAAAAGAGACAAAGATGGACACTACATAATGATCAAAGGATCAATCCAAGAAGAAGATATAACAATTATAAATATATATGCACCCAACATAGGAGCACCACAATATGTAAGGCAAATGCTAATGAGTATGAAAGAGGAAATTAATAGTAACACAATAATAGTAGGAGACTTTAATACCCCACTCACAACTATGGATAGATCAACTAAACAGAAAATGAACAAGGAAACACAAACTTTAAAGGACACAATGGACCAGCTAGACCTAATTGACATCTATAGGACTTTTCACCCCAAAACAATCAACTTCACCTTTTTCTCAAGTGCACACGGAACCTTCTCCAGAATAGATCACATCCTGGGCCATAAATCTAGTCTTGGTAAATTCAAAAAAATTGAAATCATTCCAGTCATCTTTTCTGACCACAGTGCAGTAAGATTAGATCTTAATTACAGGAAAAAAATTATTAAAAATTCAAACATATGGAGGCTAAACAACACGCTTCTGAATAACCAACAAATCATAGAAGAAATCGAAAAAGAAATCAAAATATGCATAGAAATGAATGAAAATGAAAACACAACAACCCAAAACCTATGGGACACTGTAAAGGCAGTGCTAAGGGGAAGATTCCTAGCATTACAGGCCTACCTCAAGAAACAAGAAAAAAGTCAAATAAATAACCTAACTCTACACCTAAAGCAACTAGAGGAGGAAGAAAT